CAGCAAACAATTCTGATTAACAGGTGATTTGACTCTGAGCAAAATAAAGGACCAGGAAAAAATTTGCAGAGTTTTAAAATGTGCTTTGCGTGATTGATTGTTATTGCAAAGAACACATTCTGAAATGTTACACGATTGTTTTCCTTATTCCAATTTGTAACAAATACCTTGAACAAAATATTCAAGTCTTAATGATCGTACCCCACAACCAACACAGCTGAAACCCTTATCCTTCAGTTCCTCCCAGAATGTTGGTTGCCGGTTCACACACTGGTACCCCCATGTGGCTCATGGTAGTCTGGTGTTCATCCTCCTGCTTCTGATTGTGGCATTTTTGACGTTAATCTTCTATCTGAAGAAAGGAGATTGCACCAGTGACAACACATCAAATTATTCCAAGGTCAGTAAAAATGATCCTCCTGTCAGTTTTTTTTACCCAGAGTTTTCAACTGCATTAACATCACACAGAGGATGGAGATGACAGCACAAGGCCCACCCCAGTCTTTGCCAGGCGCCACTTGCTTCCTGTTACAGAATGGATTGATTTCAAGATTCTCACATTCATGTATAAATTACATTATTCCCTGGCACCTCCCTTCCTTTCTGAGCTGCTTACTCCCCACTCCACTACCCACTGTATTTGCTCAGCTTGCTCCAGCCTCCTGCACATCCCTTGTCACCTCCGCTCCACTATCATTGGTCATGCTTTCAGCCACTATTCCCCAAAACTGTGGAACTCTTTTCCTCAATCCCTCCACCTTGCCTCCACCTTTCCCATTTTCAAATTGCACTTGAAGACCTTCCTCTTCAACTGTGCTTATGTTACAGCACTCGTCTTCCTGGCCTGGTGTAAAGCTTCACCACTGTTAAGCGGGCATGAATGAAAAAGTATTCAATCAAGAAAATTAAGGTTATTTTGTTGGCCAAAAAGGATGTCCGCTACTGCTCAAGAAGGAATGCAAAGGAGAGCAATGATGATTCTCCCTGTTTTTGAGGGAAGAGCTGTTAGGAATGATAAGACAAACTGGGGCTCTTCAACCTCAAAAAAGATGCCTTACTTAGCATATAAGATGCACACTTTTATTTTGTGTTCCTTTGCAGACCCAGTTGTCAGGAGTCAAGGCTTGGGAACCTCAGGTTGTGCATTGGAATTCTGCTAGAGTCTAACCATCTAAAACCACATAGCTTGTGATTGAGAACATTGCCTGGCAAGCTTTCTCGCTTATTGGTTTGAAATGCTGTACACTGTCCAGCGCATTGGGTTGTCCTCCCGACATGAAAGGTCCTATACAAATGTAATCTTGTTGTTGTTGTATTGTCAAGATGGGACCACCCTATTGTTAGGACTTTGGCTTGCAGGGTTAAAGGAGCTGAGTTTGAAGATTCCCTGCCTCCAGTTACTGGTCTGCCTTTCCAAGAACTGCCGATGACCCAGCCTGGCTGTGCTCTCATCAGCAGTGTTCTGGAATACTATGACTCGTCTTGCTCAGGAATTGGATTACCGAGACATCTGACAAGTGTGGGTTTGAGCACTCACTAGCTAAAACTATTTTTTGGGGTCAGCCAGGTGGATAATAGGTACCAGGAGCTCCTTGTGAGCTTAAGACTATAAAACTAATCTGCAAATCATCAGTTTTAATATTAAAAAAATGCTATTTATAAAAGGCAAGAATAACATCCCTTTTTATTTAGATTGAATGTCACGTGTTTGGATAAATTTGACACAGGAGTCAAAGCTACATTGGGAAATGCTGCTTCATTGAGGGGCATCACAGTTTGAAGCCATTCTTACTGCACTGATCATTGTTATCTCACTGAGCGGTGACACTGGTTAAAGCCAAGGCTGCACTAATTAATGTTATCTCATTGTGTGGTGAGACTCAAAGCTTAATACCAATAAATGGTTGAGAGCTTGCCCACCAATGGGCAAAGGACGTGAAGGAGGCCTGGGCTGACAGAGTAATGGGGATAATAAGGTGTGGAGTATTGCAAGAGAGCGCAGAGGGGCAAGGTAAGGGAGAAATTTGAAGTTGAAGAGGATGATATTAAACCTTCAAACCCTGAACTATCCAGGACTTTGGAGCATCCTCCTAAAATCGAAGGTGCTGTACAAATTTGTTATTTAAGTTTGTTCGCTGGGGGAGACGGATATTGTGGAACTGACAGAGTTGATGGGCCCATGGAGTCTGGTGCGGAAGAAATGTATGGCACAGTAGAAGCTTGTGGAAGCTAGAGCTGGGGAGACTTGAAGCAAGGTATGTGAGGGGTTGAGGACGAGAATTTGAGCTGCACTGTGAGCAAGGTAGTGAACGCAGGTGGCCGATGTTGCGGAAATAGAGGAAAGCAGATTTAGTCAGAGGCTGCATGACAGGTTCATAGGAAAGTTAAGAGTGAAACAAAATGCAGAGGTTCCAAACTAGTTCTATGAACTGGAGCGAGTAACCAGGAGGACGATACTGTGGGTATCTAAGGTGAAAAGGAACTGACGGGAACTGAAGCAACCAAGTGTTTCTGTATGTGTGTGTGTGTTTGTGTGAAATATGTTACCCTTTAAAACCTGTTCAATGTACTCGGACGTGAACTGAAAAAAAAGAGCTTTATGTGGACATGTTTATACTTGGTGCTGTGCTGGAGGGCAACTTAATAGCTTTTTCCTCGTCAAATGCTTATCAGGCAATTTCCCAATAATAAAAACACAGTGAACATTTTCCTGTTTTGCAATCAATGTACAATAGACCTGTTTGTCTCCCTGAGCCAGATGAGTAAGCTTTGTAAACATTCTTGCTTCACACAGGTATCGTCATGAACAATAGAAAATGTCAGTTCATATGCCTTCTCATACCAAAGTGAGTGTTTAGTTGGACTGATATTCCACTTAGTTTTATCCTGGAGAACTATTGTGTCTTAAAATGTAATACAGCACAAAATTCTGCAATTGAATTCTTAATTTCTGTCTTAAGTTGGATAATAATAAAATCCTTGCATTTGATATAGCATCTTTCACGTCTTTTAGACATCTCAAAACACTTCACAGAATATACTGTAAAGTAAATTGATTATATCTGTAGGCGAAACACGGCGGCCAATTGCGCACAGCAGTGTCCCACAAACAATCATGGATGTGATTGACCTAATCATTTTTTTTTTAGGGATTATTATCCCCGGAAAAGCCATCCAACAATCGACTAACAACCGGGTTCCTGCTTACTGCTAGGTAAACAGAGGCATGTGGAGTAAGGAAACTTGCCCAACATTTCACCCTGCCGGGAATAGAAACCAGGTCTCTTGCTTGCGAGGCGAGTGCTCTAATCCTGTAGCTCAGTGGTTAGAGCACTCGCTTTGCAAGTGAGAGACCTGAGTTCAATTCCAGACAGGGCGAAACCTTGGGCAAGTTTCCTTACTCCACACATCTAATAATAATCCCTCCAAAACCAAAAACAATAATAAATTGGTCATTTTCAATCTACGACTGTTTGTGGGACATTGCTATGCGCAATTGGCTGCCGCGTTCGCCCACAAATATACAGTCAATTCACTTTACAGTGTGTTCTGTGAAGCGCTTTGGGAGACGTCCTCCCGACGTGAAAAGCGCTATATCAAATGCAAGGATTATTATATTATAATCACTGAGCTACAGTGGAGGGTTAAACAAAATGCAGAGGTTCTCAGAAAGACCCGACTTCCAAATTAAAATTGAACACAAGATTTTCCACAATTTAGTTTGATTTTACAGGTTGAGACAAGGTGGAATTACCACATGAAGTGCAAAAATCACACCCTGATTGTGCATGTTCTGTACTGCAGTCTCTATAGACCTTGATGTGTTGAATGGAAGCAGTAATAAATATGATCAAATTGAAGTGTGTTTGACTTTTTTATTTGACCGTATGAAAAAAAATCAAGAACAAGATTTTGTTTTGTGGCATGATATCTCATACTGAGATCAGATATAAACAATCCCCCATAGGAGGAGATATCTCTTACAAACCAATGTCCAGCTTTCAATCTTTAACCACTTTACATGTCCAAGTTCATCCTTTACAGGTCTTGTTCCTCGTCTTCCTGAATTAGATTGATTTCTAAAGTTATCCAAAGCAAAGTCACTGATTTTAAAACTGAAGACCCAAACTTAAGTGGCTTTGCCAATTTTTTCTTACATTTTAAGAATGCATCGAATTATTGAAAATGTAGTTTTAATTTGGGGAAAAGTGGGGAAACTTCGCCACTCCCTCTCTTTTTCAAGAACTGCACAAAAATCAACTTGCACATTAAGACTATTAACAGAGCTTCGTGCTGGGATATTGCATGTCAGTGAATCATTGTTGGTAAATTTACAAGATAATACACGATTGATTCGGTACAATACAATTTACACTTATATAGAAACTTTTACATCAGCAGGATGTCCTGAATCATTCGACAGTTCTGCATTGGCACCGGAGCTGAGGTGGGAGGTAAAGATATAACCAATGATATAAGGAAGGAATTTGTGAATTGTGTTTAACACTCAAAGGTTATGAAGGCCATCCTTCAATTGTTTTACACTCTTTTATTTCAAACTGTAGCTGCTGCGATATCTTTCACCTTTATTTTTGTTTGATTCTTATTACAAATACAGTAAACCTCACATAATATGTATCAGTTGGGGCCATACATTTAATATGACTTATGTATGACATACATATGAGTTATGTCAACCTTGCAATAGCCATATATATATTATCATATATGACTACTGCAAAGTTATGTATAAGTCAGATTTGATATGACTAAAACATAACAATTACAGTTCACAAGGACTGTACTGGCTGTTGACATTGCCAGTGTGCCTATATATGTTTTCTGCACATGAGGGACAGTACTGTGCGGTACAGTCTTTCCCACATGGAAAGAATTTTGTGACCGAATTGAGGGTCCTCCCAACCGCCAGCTCCTGCCACTGCCCTGAGAGGGGTGGTTCATTGGGAAGAGAGGGAGTGAGCGGCCTGAAATCTTTCTCTTTCCTCTCTTGCTCTTTCCTCTGTCAGAATCCCCCACCACCCCCGACAACCCTCAATCAAACATGTAATGGTAGAAAACATTTGTGTGGGAAAACACTAAGCACAAGAGTTTTCCTGATGATGCAGAAATTGGAAAATCAGTGAGACCCTAATTTTTTGGCACAATCATGCCCTGATGTTTTTCAATTCTCCACATCCCAGTCACAGGTCATTGTTTTCTACACACCAGTCTCATTCAGCACCCAAATTCGGAGGGATGTGACACGAGAGTACACTCCAGTTACATTGGGTAAAGCACACTCTTTACCAAAGCTTACAATTCCAGCCTGAAGCCATGTCCCATCGGACTGCTGGCAGATAAGTGGACCTCCGGAATCACCCTGTGAAAAAAACAAAGCATAATCAACATTACATGGTGATTATTGATGTTACCCAGTCAGTACAATACCAGCAGGAACCTTCCTATGTTCATGACAATTTTTATCAAGTAGCCTCCTTTAAAGGTGAAGCATGGCATTGGATGCTGAATAAAGACTACAAATCTGTTAAACAGGTTTGAGTATAAATGTGGAGTATAAACACCAGCATGGAATGGTTGAGTTGAGTGGGTTGTTTCCATGCTGTGCATTCTTTGTAAACGAGAGGTGAGGGAATGAAACTCAGAACCCAGTAAATCCAGTAAGAGAAATTGTGCCATGTTATGTCATTTAAATACAGCCCTGCTACATTGAAGACCAGTGTACAGTGTGGGAATCTATCATTGTCATAATAATAAATATCTTTCTATTATCAATACAACGGTTGTCACTGCTCTGCTGACCTTTCCTCAGCTGTTCCTAATGTCCTCTAAATTAGCTACCATACACATTCTCTCAATGTCCTGTATCCTCACCGTCCTGAAACAAAAACCTATTGCACCTTCTTCTATTTAACAAAACAAGGAACACTCTAAAACTACTGGAAATATTATCTCAATATGTGCCACTTACTCCTAGCCTCCTTATATCAAGTTGCCACAGCACTATGGCTTGTCATCTTAGCTACATTTGGACTAATTGATGAAATTCACTTGCTGAACAAATGTGAAAATGCGAGTGATTTGGGATGAAAGTTTACCTGACAAGAATCAACTCCTCCTTCCAAGATGCCAGCACACATCATTCTGTTGGTAATAGAGTTTTTATACAAACGTCTGCACAAGGAGTTTCTGATGATTTTTATATTGGCTTTTTGAAGGATCGTTGGAAGATCACCTGTACAAAAAAGACTGAAATTGAAGTTTCCCTCTAGTTTTTAACAACAATCACACTCAGTGATGATCATCTTTTACATGTTTTACCTATAAGGAATTCTCCAGCCTCCAAACACCATTGCTGGTCTATGTTAATAATAATCCTTGCATTTGTTATATAGTGCCTTATCATGTCGTTCAGATAATAATAATAATAATAATAATAATAATAATAATAATAATAATAATAATAATAATCCTTGCATTTGATATAGAGCTTTTCACGTCGGGAGGACGTCCCAAAGCGCTTCACAGAACACACTGTAAAGTGAATTGACTGTATATTTGTGGGCGAACGCGGCAGCCAATTGCGCACAGCAGTGTCTCACAAACAGTGGTGGATTGAGTAACCACATTCGTTTTGAGATATTATTACCCCCAGAAAGCGATCTGCCAATCGAATAACAACTCAGTTCCTACTTACTGTTAGGTTAACAGAGAGTGTGGAGTAAGGAAACTTGTCTAAAATTGAACCTGGGTCTTCTCGCTTGCGAGGTGAGTGCTCTAACCACAATGTTAGTTGTGTTTGTTGTGTAACATCATTCATGTCGAGAGAAGGTCTCAAAATTTTGGGAGGTTTGGCCTATACCTACAGATCTGCAAATTTTAAGTTCAAATATTAAGCTCAGATCCCCTTCCGAGTCTATTACAGATTTAAACTCTGTAAAGGGAGTGCCATATTTGGCTACTGCTGTAGCATGTCTCCATACTCTTTTTCAGATGCACAGTGTTGAGAAGCGAGACCAATTGGTTTAGAAGTGCTGGATGCTGAGGGCAGCTGCACTGAATGAAAAGAAAGTGTTATTTTAACAATAGAAGAAGACTGCTCAACAATATAAAGTAATATGCACAAATTGGCTGTTGCGTTCATATACAAAACACGCAGTCACTACACTTTACAGTAAATCTTGTGCTTTGAGATGCCCTCCCGGTGTGAAAGATATAAATCCTTGCAAAATTATGAATGATTATTGTTATTACTATGGTTATTCACTGTCCCTGGATCAAGAACCAGATGCAAACCTGTCGCCTCCCACTTGTGTACCATAGCTCAAACTACTCACAATAGATCCCAGTTACTTTATCTTAAGCCTAACAATTCACACACTAACCTAGATATGAAAGAGTTCCCCATCCTGTGACGGTGCAGGTCTGACCATCAGAGAAGATGTGGGTCGTTGATGGAAGACACACTGGCCGTATGAAGTTAGTGAACGAGAGAGGAGAGGAAAGCTCCAGCACTGCAACGTCATAATCAAATTGCTGTAATGTCTTGCCGAAATTGGGATGAGTAACAATCCTTTTGATGGCTCTTGATGTACCTTTTCCTATAATAGTTGACCCCATGTAAGCTGTCCACTGCGATTGATTGGCCCAGACACTTTAAAAACAGATGTGAATTGTTAATCACTTCAAACTGGATAATTCTAGCAAGTATGTGTTCAAACTAACAAAATTGAAATGATGTTAACAATTCAAAAGAATTTTCTTTATTTTCCATGCTATTGCTAATAGTTTTCATAGAGTACAAGAACCTTAACAAAGGCACAACTCAATCTCAAATTGTGGGGTGAAAACATCACTATAGAAATATTAGACTCTAATTTGCTGCAATTAAACAAGTTCCTGACTCTATTCCTACAGAAGCTGGGTTCTTTTGACCGAGTGTCATTTAATGGGTTAGTTAATAATAATAATCCTTGCACTTGCTAAAGCGCCTTATCACGTCTTCGAGAAGTCTCAAAATGCTTCATAGAATATACTGTAAAGTGAATTAACTGTATATTTTGTGGGCATGTGCAAGATTGACAGGCAACAAGCATTTCATTATTTCTCCCCCAAACTGTACGATGTGCCTCTGGACAGGCAATGCAAAATGCTCAACATTATGCCTTTGATGGCTTGTCTATCCTGGTCAATGCTGAGCTGGTTTTCCTTGTGTTTTATACCGAGTGTAACCTTACCAGCATAAGAGGAAGCAAAAACTTGAAGATGAGTAGGTAGGACTCATGACAGCAATTATTCATAACAGACACATAAGATATTGGCCCAGCACTTAAAGAATCTAGGTTGACCTGTTTGTTAAGTGTAATTTTCTGGATTGGGGCATAACAGCTCAACACACACGGACAGTATTTCCTCCCCGTCCCCATCCTCCCACCCCCACCCAGTGCCATCCAGAGGAACATCATTGCAAAACAGTTCTTTTTGACTCAGTACTTTGAGCCTTCCCCCTGTTGGACCATCATCCAAAAATGATCCTAATTTTGTTCCCTATAAGACAGTAAATTGAGGTTGTATCAGTAACACATGCCATGAGGATCTCATATCTCTGTGACAAGAGGTATTTGTTTTTATGAAGTTTAAGGAATACACAAAAGGAAAGTGGAATATTTACCCCTGGAAACAGTGAGCTGCAGAGAGGAGCCACCTGTCAGAGATGATAGAAGCCCCACACACGTGTGACCTCCTGACCTGAAGGCTCACTTGCCAGGGCCATTCACCCTGCACCGAGTCTGTTCCGCCAACAATCCTACTGATTATTTCAGGCTGAGTGCCACAAGCTGTGGATAAAGCACAAATGTGTTTAGTGCCAGATATCCTATGTTAATTGAAAGGAACATAAAATACGAAAAGATCTTTTGGTCCAAGTTGGCTCCTTCATCAAACTAAACTGAAGACCTTTCTTTTCGACCGCGCCTTTGGTCACCTTCCTCCCCCTCCCTCTGGCTCGGTCCCGGGATCCATTACTGTAAAGTGCTCTAAGACTCCGTCCGGCGTGGAGGGTGCTATATAAACCCAAGTTGTTGTTGTTGTAATCTTAGCTCATTGTATCCTATCAACAAGAATTCAAAGGGCACATGTGACATGAAGTGATACCCACAGGGGCTTTGTGTTTGTACAAGGTATTATGGGCCCAAAGTTCCATTCTAATTAAATTTCTGTCAGTGTAAGTATTCTAAATTATCAAAGTAAAAACCTTGGAGTGGAGTCAGAACAACATTATATTTTTATCTAAATTCCATCGTTGCTGTTTTAACATCAATGCTAATTTACTGCCCATGTCCTGGTGTAAACATGTTCGAAGGTACTGTCAAAGGGCCTATCATGGCAGACTGGATGGCCATGGAGGAGGGAGATGCATTATTTTAAGTAAAGGAATTAGATAACTACCGTGCATTCCTCTGGGAAGAGTGTACACACTTTATACCAGTGAATGGAAATTTCGATAAATATGCGAAATGCTCAGTGCTATGGTTTGAAGACTTTTAACCTTACTGATATTTGTCAGACACAAGCTAACCAAAAATAGAACTAAAATTAGTTTTATATAAAGAACCATTGAATTCAACAGTAAGGAAATAATGAGGAATCTTTATCAAATGTTAGGCGTGCAGTTTTGAATGGATATTGGAGCTATCAAGATGAAAGTAAATTCATAAGAACAATGCCAGAAATGACGGGATATATCTATAAAGAGAAGCTGAAGATCAGGACTGTTCTCATTGGAATAGTGAAGGTTGAGGAATGATATACTAGAGGTGTTTAAATTAATGACAGGTATTGCGAGGATAAATGGTGAGGAACTATTTCTACTTATTGGTGATTCAAGGACAAGGGAGCATGGATTCAACATTAATAATAAGAATCCTTGCATTTCCTACAGTTCCTTATCACATCTTAGAGACATCTCAAAATGCTTCACAGAAAGTAAATTGAATGTATATTTTGTGGGTGAATCACGGCAGTTAATTGTGCACAGCAGTGTCCCACAAACAGTTGCAGATTGAGTGCCAAAACTATTTTTTTTTTGGAGGGCTTATTACCCCTGGAAAAGCGATCTGCCGATCAACTGAGAACTGGATTTACTTACTGCTAAGTAAACAGAGGTATGTAGAGTAAGGAAACTTGCCTGAGGTTTTGCCACCCCAGGAATCGAACCCAGGTCCTCTCGCTTGTGAGGCAAGTGCTCTAATCAATACACTACAGGATTTCACATATGCTATAGAACTCCATTATAATTAGAGTATGAAATAGGGAAAAAATTCTCTCAGACAATTATCAGAATTAGGAATGAATTGCCAGGGGTGGCATTTTAGCAGAGTTATATGAGGCCATTAAGGACGGAATTTAATAAGCACATGGAGGAGAAGTATTACATGGAACGGACAAAGAGCAGGGAATTTTAAATTGAATTGATAGATTAATTGGAGGAGCGAAGACCAACACTAATAAAATAGATCGTAAGATCTCCTGATCTATTATATTGTTTAACAGAAATCTGGCAGTCAGTGTTCTTAAACTACCCATCCACATATCAGGACATTGATAGCACAAGCTCTTTTCAGTTTTACATTTCTCGAAGATTGGACTTTGAATATGAAGCTAAAATTCAAAATATAGATCAACCGAGTTTTCATCCCCATATTTTTCAACATGTGCTTTTCCAATATTGTGGCAGGATAATTGAGATTGGTGTGTAATTTCACAATTGATCCCAAAACAAAACCAGATGGATTATGTTTTGGACCATGTTAGTTCTGACCTGTTTAGTTGTGATGCTTAATCTGGCACAAAGGTTGGATTTTAGGATGGTGGTGGGGGGTAATGGGGGAGGGTGGGGTTAACACAGAATAGTGTTGATGTTTCATAAATTATTCAATTTGTAATTCAGATTCTGTATGAACAGTTCTGAATTGCCAAGGAGAGTGGAGGTATAGGTTATAGGTTTAACTTACACTTGCTTGATGTAATTATGTTTCTGGGAGTTGTGGTGTTTATCACAGGAACATCTGGAAGAAAGAGATATGGAGGGAATTTGTTACAAGTGGAATGAAAACACAGAGCAGAAAGAAACAAGAAATTGTTGTATCTCTTGGTAATATCAACAACTTTTAAAATGATATGAACTGATTATTTGTTGAATGTAACAGTCGTTTTGAGACTTGAACAACTTGAACCTAAATTGGGTCTACAGTAGGACAGCAGCTATCAGAACAACCACTATCTATATGCCCAAAATGTATTACCAGGAAAATGTATTGTTGTGTGCATGCACGAAGGTCCCCAGACCTACAATTTAGCCACATGACATGCAGTAAGTGATTCATTCAGAAATTTGTTACAGGCACCTTGTGAAGTTAAAGGCAGAGACAGAATAATAATCCCTCCAAAAAACAAAACAATAATAAATTGGTCATTTTCAATCCATGACTGTTTGTGGGACATTGCTGTGCGCAATTGGCTGCCGCGTTCGCCCACAAATATACAGTCAATTCACTTTACAGTATATTCTGTGAAGCGCTTTGGGACGTCTAGAAGACGTGAAAAGCGCTATATCAAATGCAAGGATTATTATCATTATTATAGAATCTGAAGTCAGAGAAAATCAAAAAAAGAAAATCAAAGAGGGAAGAAAAGAAAGTGAGAGAATAACTCAAAGAAAGAAAGTTAGAGAATAAGTCAGAGAAAAGGAGCAAAAAAAAAGACAAGTAAAGAGAGAGAGCCAAAGAAACAGAAAGAGAGAAAAATTACCAATACAAGTTAGTACTATTTTGACAGTATACCTCCCGGTGGAAGAAATGTTAGTTAGTTGGTGCCAATTTGTAATTTCTGTGATGACATGTTATCCACAATGGGGTACAATACTGCACTTGATTTTGATTTTATATTAAACTGGCAATTGTGCAGCAGTGTGCAGCAAAGAACCATAGAATTTTACACAACAGAAAGAAGATAATGAACAGTGATGTCCCACAAACAACCGTGAAGTGAATGACCAACTGACCAATTTTATCTGAGGGATTGTTTATAAAAAATACTCCTTGCATTTGATATAGCACCTTTCTTATTGTTAAAATGTTTCAAACAATAACAAAATTATAATAATAATTCTTACATTTGATAAAACATCGTTCACATCAGGAGGACGTTTACATTCCATTCACTTTACAGTATTTTCTGTAAAGTGTAGTCACTGTGCAGTTGTAAGTGAAAACAGCAGCCAATTTATACACAGCAATATCTCAAAAATGATTCATTTTATCTGGTCAATTGTTGGCTAGGAAACCAGGATAAACTCTCTTTTTTTTAATTTCTGCATTGGATCTTTAATGCCCACCTGAACAGGCAGAAGGACCTTGGTTTAACATCTGAAGAAATACACCTCTGACAATGCAGTGCTACCCTGCAATGCTTCGGAGTGTCAGCCTGGACTATGAGCTCAAAGTCCCAACTTAAACCCACAACCTCTGACTCAGAAGCGAGAGTGTTACCAAGTAAACCTGGCTGGTACCTGTCATTTCAGACACAAGCAGCTCTCATAATGCAATATGTGGGGGTTAAAGGAGAGATAGACAGTGAGTATTCTTCTGAAGGCATGCAATTGGGAGGAACAACCCAAGGGGTGAACATGCTTTCTGAAGTTATCCAGTTTCCACTAAATTCCACTAGTTTATTGGTCAGCTGAATGAATCAGTTTCCAGTTTTGGATTGCTTCTCCCTACTGCGGGGTTTCCAGGTTGCCATTTATATAGTCTGGATGCCAAGATGCCATCTCCTCTTATAGCTCTGCACCAAATGCCTGCGCATAATGGGTAACACTCCCTAACCTCGCTTTCCACATAAACTCCTGACCAACAATTGTGGCCACCCCATAAACCTCGTTTTGACTGATAGCCTTGACATCTCCAATCAGGCGCTGCCATTGTTATGTGCTCTGAGACACTATCCCATGTGATGGGCTCAATATAAATGTAAGTTGTTGTTGTGGTTTCCCAATTCTGTGAAACTCAAAAACAGAACAAAACAAAAAAGGCAAACAAAGGGTCATCAGTCCTTAACATAATCACCAGTTTAAATAAAAATAAATCGAAATCTTAAAATCTCAAAAACATTTTCTCTTACTTGCAGAGTTATTTTGTACAGTTGAGTTAACCATGACATCAGCTGTACGACGTGGGCTTGACGTGGTTGGCTTTGTAATTATTAACACTGAACAAAGTACAATTGATACAATAGTTAACAAGCATCTCTCCTGAATGGACAATGCCTTGTATAGATTTTTTTTTTAATTTTTGGGTAAAAAAAAAGCACTGTGTTCTGAAACAATGCTGAAATAAACTCACAACCCAGAAGGAAGAGTACTTCCAACTGAGCCCAGGTCACCACCTAAATAGGTTTTACAGTTTCACAATGAATCGAGAATGATTGGAGCATCAATCTTTAAAAGACCAGAATATTGTACACAAGTGTCATATTTTTGCTTCTTCTAAACAAATCAAACCAATAGTTGTCAAGGCCCACAATATAAAATAGGAAATGTAGCCACAGATAAGAGGAGGTTGCTTAGCAAGCTTTCCTGTTGCTTGTCCAGCTAGGACCACCCTATCTGTTAGGACTTTCGTTTGCAGAGTTAACAGGAGCTGAATGGGAAGAATCCCTGTCCCCATTGACTGGTCTGCCCTTTCAAGTCCTATTGATGAGACAGGCTGTCTGTCTGCCATCAGCAGTGGGCTGGAGTACTACAGATCTGCCTGGCTCAGAACCCGGACTACCAAGACTGCCATAGAGGATTGACCTGTTTCTGGTGTTCATTAAAGCCTGGCACTGTTTAATTCATTGAAATCTCAAGACTTCAAAAAACAAATTCTCATACTTGCAGAGTTATTTTGCATAGTTGAGTTAACCATGATGTCAAATGTAGGGTGTGGACTTGACGTTGTTGTCTTTGTAGCTATTAAATGTACAAAAGAAACAGCAGTTAGCAAGAGTATATTGAATATCAAGAGAGAAGCAATTGGAATGATGCCTTGTGTATGATCAGCAAATAAGCCTTTTTCCATTCTTTTAAATTAAAGGTTGCTGGGATGAAATTTGCCACATGTGATGTGAACATTGTGGGCATTCCACAGATATGGATAATTATAACAACTTGCACCTATATAGCGGCCTTCACGCAGGGTAGTGTCTCAGAGAGCTTGTCAACTCTCTGTATGTTGTTCCCTCCTTCCCTCCCAACACAAAAATAATGTAATGGTTAAGGCTGAATCGTCTGAGATTACAATTGCCAGACACAAAGTTAAGTTGTGGCAGCTTGTAGCAAGAGGAGAAAGAGGCCATTCAGCCAAACAAGCCTGTTCTGCCATTTTATTTAATCGTGACATTTCTTTTACATTTGACATTTGAAAAACAGTTTGATACTGTAATAAGAAGATAGTAGACTGGTTATTCCGGAAAGATGAGATCAAATGGCCTGATCTAATCTTGTGATCTTGTGAACTGTTAAAAATAATGGATTAAAGAGCAGGAAAAGATCAGAGGATGAAAGCACTTCTATTTTAAGCCTTTGCCTGAATTTGAAAAATAGAATATTACCAACACCTGGAACCAGGTTCCTGTAAAATAAACATCAGAGACTTTGCATTTTGTCTACACTATCGCAGAGCTTAGTGGAGGATAACAGGAAAACACAAGAATAAAAACATGACGCCAAAGTACACAAACTGAACATGACCATTCAACTCCTACAGGGGAATGGAAAACCAGTTGAACAAGGAAGTTATATTTGTTGATTCATTGTACACCACACAATACTCGACCATGAGGAGACTGCAATAAATAAAGCATGCAGAATACTAGACTGCATAGCCATATCAGTGCAGTTCAGATGGCAAGTTATGATCTGATCAGTATGCTCCTGGAGTACTGTGTACACAGCATAGTAGGCTGTCTTGGTCTGTAGGCAGTATGGAGGGGAGCAAAGAGGCTGATCCCCAATATTAGAGAGATTAGCCATTAGGACTGAACGAATAAGATAGGGCTGCTCAGACTCATATTGAGAAAACTCAGATCTTAATGAACCATATGAACTACTTCATGGGATAGAAAAAGCCACAAGAAACAATACTTTTGCGTACAGATAACACAGATAACGCAGGTAACACAGCAGATAACACAGCAGTAAAAATCTGTTCAACATTTCACGTGATGTCTTTGGCGACGTGTGATTATAATGAGAAATCTTATTAATGGTTGACATTGCCAAAAGCGATGTGTGTAATACTAAACAGAATGTTTAACCCACAGTAGGATAAGAGAGCATATTTCAGGGTTGTAAGTTAAAAAATTATGACATGTACCCTGAATTATCGAGGAATGAAAAGTTGGAAATGATTATAAGCCCCAACGAATCATAGTATCCTGGCCAACAATCCTCCAAATAACACTCGTCATTCACTTCATGGCTATTTGTGGTACTGGTAAATTGGCTGCCACATTCGTTCACAGTCACATCACTTTACAGTACATACAACAATTGCAACAACTTGCACTTACATAGCACTCTCCTCGCAGGGTAATGTCTCAGAGCGTTTAAAAGAGCTATGAATTGCTCTAGAATGTCATCTAGACCTGAAAGGCGCTGTACCAATTATTACTAAATGTGTTTTATGTAAGATGTTATACAAAGTATTATGGGCACAGGTAAGTTCACAAAGGTTTAACTCCCATCAGAAACTGAGAATCACAGACTAACTATTTTATCAGTCATTGAATGACAGTCTATTAATAGTAGAATTTTATGGAGAATGGAATGAAACCTGGATATTCTATGTTTTCCACATTTCAGTTTGTAAACAAGATTAAAAACATGTACGAGAAGGTAGTGAAACAGGTTATTACCTTGGGGGAAAAGATCCAGCACATCTGCCTCAGTGAGTTCTGAAAGAGTGAAGAGCAAGAAAATCATTGGCATTATCTGATGTTAAAGTGAAGCTTCACCACTGAAGAGCATTGGCAAAGCTATGTTTACAGACATGCAGAGTGAGCAGTGTTATTAGCAGTGTGGATGACATTCACATGAGCATTGTGGCTGGGTGAAAATTCAAATGATTGACGCTGGTCTTCGAGATGTCTCAAAGGGTTTCACAGATATACTGTAAAGTGAGCAGACTGTATATTTTATGGGTGAAAAGCGGCAGCCAATTGCGCGTGTCCATAATTTTGAGGGAAATAGAATAATATTCACAGCCTCATCTATTTACTCTCTCCATGATGTTTCCCATTTTATCCTGGTTCACCATATATATTTAATATATATATATTACTTATATATAAATATATATGTATATATAGTCCTCAGGCTGCCGAAACCCTCACCCACGCATTCGTCACATCAAGGCTCGATTATGGAAACTCTTCTCATCGGCCTTCCCAACTCTTCCCTTCACAAGCTGCAGATCATCCAAAATTCTGCAGCTCGTGTGCTCTTGTGCACCAGGCTCCGCAACCCCATCACTCCCACCCTCGACAACTTCACTGGCTTCCCATCCCCCAGAGAATCGAATTCAAGATCCTCATCCTCACTTTTATCCTTGCCCCCTCCTACCTATCTGACCTTCTGACTCCCTACCAATCTGCCCGCTCCCTCCATTCAGCGGGCTCCGGCCTGCTCCATGTCTCCCACCTGACCTGCACTACTATCGGTGGCTGGGCTTTCAGCCACTCTGACCTCGCACTCTGGAACTCCATACCACGGTCCCTTTGCCTCGCTTCCTCCCTTCCCTCTTTCAAGGCCTGTCTCAAGACTCTTCTCTTCGATCATGCCTTTGGTCGCTCTCCCACCTCTCTGCCTTACATTGCCCCTACCTCACCTCTCCCCCATGCTCGGGCCCCGACACCTGACTGTTCAGCGCTTTGGGACATCCTCCGGATGTGAAAGGCACTCTATAAATGTAATTTTCTTCTTCTTCTTGTTAATTGTCCGATATGCACCAATGATCCTGGCCAACAATCCCCACAAATATAATTGGTCACTCATGTCATTGGTATTAGATTTGTGAAGACAAATGTAAAGAAGTCACTTGACCCATCTGCTATTGACCATCACCTACATTGTTACCATATCTTTTACACTAATTTTATATTTCAGCACATGATTTAATGGGGTCTTGAAGTACTCATAAAATGTCATTTGTTTGACGTACCAGTGAACTGAATTGAATTCAGGTCTATTTTAAAACGACCAAGGAAAGCGATTTCGTTGTCGATACTGCTTTTCTGCAGGCTTTGATGGAATGTGTTGTCCACTGAAGCTTTTGTTATAGAGGAGCTTCCTTTGGTGTTGAACTCTACTACGTTTCTCACTATAATACTACCTGGCCTGTTGAAAAACAAGTTAGAGAAGTATTAATTTCAGTGCAGTAATTGTCAAGCCACTGTCAAGCGCTCTAGGACACTAACTTGAGTGAGGGGCACTATGTAAATATAAGTTATTGTTGTTGTAATTCTAATGACTGCAGTAATTGGAGTTTTCACCAGATTTGAAGCATAAGGGGATAATTAAAAATGGTTTACACCATATAAATATTGGATATGTATATCAGATATTTCTCATATTAGCTATTCCATATTTACTACTACTAATAATATAATAATATTAGATAATCACATGCATTATTCCAACTCTTTAAAATTGATGATCCCTGTATAACACAATACTTAAGCAGGCAGGATCTCCATATCCATTATGGCTGATGGGGTTAAAGATTTGTGTATAACTAGAAGCATACGATGATGCCGTACCTCTACCGTCAATTGCAGGATCACTGCTGTTCTGACTGATTGCCTTTTCCCAATATTAAGGGCACTTTCTCCTCTCCTCATTCGCTCCCCTCTCCCCCACTCCAAGTCATACGAAGCATGTAAAAAGCTTTATATAAATATAAATTGTTGTTTTGGATTAGTGTGGATCTGCTTGGCTTTAACATGTGCTTCTTCTGCTCAAACCTAGTGAAATGCAATTTCATCTGTTTTATGGTCAAACAAATGACACATGCAAAAATCTATCACCATGGAAGACTAAACTGAGATTCCCATGCAGCCCACCTGCACATGGAAATTGGATACACCCTTCTTACCAAATTCTGAAGAGTATTAGGTGCAGGTGCGCAAGAGCCAAGGCTTGAGGAACCCAGAGTAAGTGTTCGGGGTACTCTGAAATTTAATTAGTTAAAACCGCATGGCTTGCTATTTCATCGTTTGCTATGCCAGATCTGGGATACTAACTGCATGTGTCATTTTTCTTCTATTGGCAATAAATTGGGGATCTATAAGAAATTTTAAAAGAATTTCTTCAAGTAGAGAATAATGAATGGTGGAACCCAATACCCAAAGCAGTGGTTGAAACAGATATATGATAACAATAACGATAATAATAATCCTTGCATTTGATATAGCAGCTGATATCACTTCACTGCTGTTTTGTGGGACATTAGTGTATGTAAATTGGATGCTGTGTTTGACCACAAAATGCATTCCACTTTACAGTATGTCCTGTGAAGTGCCTTGGAGCATTTTTCTGATGTGATTGGCGTTATACCAAATGTAAGGTTATTATTTTTATAATAATATTATACAGGTGTAGTCCTGTAACTCAGTGGTTAGAACACTCGCCTCACAAGCGAGAGATGTGGGTTCGATTCCAGGCCAGGGAGAAACCTTGAGCAAGTTTCCTTACTCCATACGCCTGATAATCATCCCTCAAGAAAAAAACAGTAATAAATTGGTCACTTCAATCCACGAGTGTTTGTGAGACATTGCTTTGCGCAATTGGCTGCTGCGTTTTGCGTATAAATATGTGGTCAACTCACTTTACAGTATGTTCTGTGAAGCGCTTTGAGACATCTAGAAGACGTGAAGAGCGCTATATCAAATGCAAGGATTATTATTATTATAAAATCATGTACATCATAAAACATATTATTTCTTAAACATCATAATGTCAAATACATACTTGAATTCTACAACTTTTGCACTTATGAAATTTGAAGACAAGTTGGAGTTCGTGTACACTGTGTTCAACTGTAAATCACAAAAAGAATGATTATTTCCTCAAGAGAATACAAAATATATTTTTTGGTTGATTTTCTACCCAAAAAATTTCTTCCCCATTAACCTGAAGGTCCTGATAAAATTCCACAGCCCAAAGCTATACCCTTTAATACCTCACATCTTTGTGAGTGACAGCAGGCTATTTGACATTGGACAAACCACCATAACCCATCATGCTTGCCCAACATCCAAACCTTCAAGGGTGACACATTAAACCAAGGTCCCGTCTCCCTGTAGATGTTAAAAATCCCAAGGCACAATTTAAAAAGAGAATAGTACCTTAGGATCCCAGTGTCCAACAACCCCCCAAACAAAATTTATTTTAAACCCCCTAACGGCCGTTTGTGGTACATTGAAGTCCTGTAGCTCAGTGGTTAGAGCACTCTCCTCACAAGCGAGAGACTTGGGTTTGATTCCCGGCAGGGCGAAACCTTGGGCAAGTTTCCTTACTCCGCATGCCTGATAATAAACCCTCAAGAAAAAAAATAATAAATTGGTTACTTCAATCCACGACTGTTTGTGGGACACTGCTGTGCGTAATTGGCTGCCATGTTTTGCCCACAAATATACAGTTAATTCAGAGAGATGTTAGAAGACATGAAAAGCGCAATATCTAATGCAAGGATTATTATTATTATTGCTGTGTGCAAATTGACTACTGCGTTCGCCCATAAATCACAGAATCGCTGCACTTTACAGTATACTAGTGTTTAAGCCCAGATAGGCATTGGAGCAGCTCAACCTCAAGCCATCTTGGGCCGTGCATGTTTTTCTTTGGTCAGCCAGGTGTCTGACACTGGTGGAAACCCATCGTCATGCTTAAGAGTATCCAAACCAGACTGAGAGTTCTACATATGAATGCCATCTATACATGGAAATGTCTCTGCATTTAGAATAGAATACAAATTACATTTATATAGCACCTTTAGTGTCACGAGGATGTCACATGATGTCAAATACTTGATAATGCTGGCCAGCACCTGAGCTTGGGTGGGACCTGAGGGGAGCGGGGAGGGGAAAGCTGAGTGAAAGTGCAGTCAAAGAAGTATGGGCCTTGAACAGGAGAGGGATGGATTGAGTTGGAATGACTCTGGGATGGAGTTCCAGAGAGCAGGGCAAAATGACTGAAAATGGTAGAATGGGGTGTGAACTCTCTCCCTGCTTACAGTGCAGAGTGAATGAGGGAGGAAGAGGATAAAGTAAACAGCCAAGGCTCACATTTCAAAATTAGTAAAGGTAATGGGTATCTGTGACTCCAATGTTCTGTCAATGTAAGGAAAGAGGAGTATGAACTGAAGAATTTGGTGAGAAAATAATTGGTAAACGTAGTGTCTAACCGAGCTACAGGGCAAGAAATCCAATCTTACCAATTTTATGGTTTCTTGCGATAATTGAGAAAACTCTTTTGATTTATGTGAGGCTAAGTTTTGGTTGTAGGAATCGTCTAGTATTCGGAATGTTGCACCGTAGTAAACATTCTCAGAATTGGAAGCTGTAGTTTTGAAGGAAGAGAAACAGACGTGAATACAACAAAAACAACACAACTTGCATTTATATAGCGCCCTTTGCGTAGGATAAAGTCTTTGGAGCACTTCACAGTTGGCGGTGTTGGGAGATGACCACAGGAGCAGTCGAAATGGTAAGTTTTAAGGTGGGGTTCGAAGAGAGATAGAGAGGGGATGAGGCGGAGAAATAGAGGCAAGTGCTAGAATACAGGTACAACGCATTTAGAATCCCATCCGATTATGTCAATGAAGCATCAAGGCTATTGAACAGTACTGATGGCAGCTCTGTTTAAGTGGTTGATGAGAGACTGCACCTCAAGCCAGACAGAAGAATCTGTATTGCTGTATATAGCTCTTCAAATACCAAATATCTAAATCTCAAATGTTAGGAGACAGGGTTAGCCCATGGTGTTTCATACATGTGACCTGTATTGGAATTCAGTGCTTACAAATGGGATAAAAATCTTCTTTATCTGTTGGTTATTGTTTCAACCACAAAATATAGTCAATTCACTTTACGGTATATTCTGTGAAGTGCTTTAGGATGACTCAAAGATGTGATTATGTACTATGTCATATGCAAGGATTATTATTTTTATTATTGGATTCCATGTGGTAGTACTTGGCACTGTCTCACACAGTTTCCAATCGCTACAAGGTCATAGATGAAACCATCCCTTCGCTTGGCAATAAACTAACAATTCAGTCCACAAGGTGGTTGATATGTGAATGGAAAATTAATGACATTTATCCCATTAGTGTTTGCTGGATTCCAACACTTATCATGGGTTGAAGGGCCAGTGTTGACCTAGACCCTCTACATTTGAGATTTTAAGCATTAAATTCATCTGGTGGATTTCTCTGTCTGATCTTCGGTATAATTGCCTGCCTCAGTTAGTAGCGCTTGCATCTGAGTGAGACGTTTGTGAGTTCAAGGCCAAATGGTCAATACTTTGAACAGTGTAGTACTGGCAGCATGCTGCACTATTGGAGGTGTTGTCCTTCAGATGAGCTATTAAACCAATGTTTGTCTGCCTGTTCTGTTGGACGTTAAAAGTCCCATGGCCAACAATTCACTACATACAATACAATACAAAATTACATTTGTAAAGCACCTTTCACATTGAGAGGACGACCAAGGTGTTGAACAGTCAGGGAACAGGACCCAAGCAATGGTGGGGGGGTGGAATTGGGATTAGGGAGAGTGGAGGGCGGCGATGACAGGGGTAGGAGGGTGGCTGGAGAATCGGCCCAAGACAAGGATCTTGAGGCGTTCCTTGAAGGAGGCAAAGGAGGGAGCGAGGCGAAAACAATTTGGGATGAAGTTTCAGAGAGTGGGGGCAGAGAGTCTGAAGGCCCGACCACTGATGGTGTCAGAGAGTTAGGAGGGGGCAGGGCCATGGAAGGCTTTGAAGGTGAGGACAAGAATTTTGAACTCGATCCTCTGATGGATGGGGAGCCAGTGGAGCCGAGCGAGAATAGGTGTGATGAGGTCACGGAGCCTCGTGCGAGAGAGGATATGAGCTGCAAAGTTCTGGATCATCTGCAGTTTGTGAAGGGAAGGGTTAGGAAGGCCGACAAGCAGGGTGTTGGCATTGTCGAGTCTAGATGTCATGAAGGCATGTATGAGGGCTTCGGTGGCCTGAGTGGTGAGGCAGTGGTGGAGATGGGCAATGTTGCACAGGTGGGGGAAGGCAGAGCAGGTTATGGCATGGATATGGGGTAGAAAGGACAGCTGAAGGTCAAACAAGATGCGTAGGTTCATGACTGGCTTGGTGAGGTGGAGTGTGCATCTGTGAATGCTGATGATGCCAGTGTCTGAGGTGTGGAGGCGCTGGTGCGAGCCAATCAGGAGGGCCTTGGTCTTGCTGATGTTCAACTGGAGAAAGTTAGCTCTCATCCAAGTCTTGATGTATGGCAGACAGTCTGTCAGGACGTCAGTGGTCTTGGGATCGAGGATAGAGGTAGAAAGATAGAGTTGGGTGTAATCTGCGTACATGTAGAGGTTGACCCCATGTCTGCGGATGACGTCACCAACAGGGTGCACGTACAGGTTGAAAAAGAGAGAACTAAGGAACACCACACTAGACTTTGTGGAGGCTGGAGGAGAAGTGATTTGTGGAGACAAAGTGGAGCGGCGTGAGAGATAGGATCTGAACCATTCAAGGACAGAACCTTGAAGGTTAAGGAGAGGAGAGGCGGTGGAGGAGGATAGAGTAGTCCACAGTGTCAAAGGCAGCAGAGAGTCTGAGGAGGACAAGGAGACAGAGGGAGCTCTGTACACACATGGACAGAATGTCATTTGTCACCTTGAACAAGACTGTTTCCATGCTTCGGGCAACACGGAAACCTGAATGGAGGGGTTCATAAAGGGAGTGGCAGGTGAGGAAGAGTGAAGCTGGGAAGCAACAACTCTTTCAAGGACCTTGGAAAGGAAAGGGAAAGATGGGGTTGTTGTTGGTGAGCAGGGATGGGTCCAGGGAAGGATATTTTAGGATAGGGGTGATGACAGCTGTTTTTAAGGGGTGGAAACATTGCCAGCTGATCGGGAGAGGTTGATGAGGACTGAGAGTAATGGGGCGAGGAGGTGGAGCTGGGAGGTAAGACGAGGGGTAGGGATAGGGTTAACGGAGCAGGTGATGGGATTCATGCGGGTTATAATGGTGGTGAGAGAGGAAGGGGAGACAGGTTTGAAGATGTAGAGGGAGGGATGGGTAGAGGGCCGGAGTTTGAGGGAGTGATGGGGTGGATGTGGTGGCTGGGAGGGTGGAAGCGGCTGAACGGATCCCCTCGATTTTAGTCTCAAGGAAATCCAGCATCTCCTCGCAGTTGGAGGAGAGGATGGGCGAGGCGTGAGAGGGTGGACGGAGTTGCCAGTTGGTAATAGAGAAGCCTGGGGTTGTCCTTGGTCTCCCAGATTAACTTGGAACAGAAGGACGATTTAGCGAAGGCGAGGGGAAATAGTAAGTTTTTATGTGGTCTCGCCAAATCTACCGGTGGACCATGAAATCAGATTTGAGCCAGGTGCGTTCAGCGGCACGCACCTGACATGCGGACATTGCAGAGTGCAAACTGGCTGCCCTGTTCACCCACAAAATACACAGTAATTACACTTTACAAGTATTCACCACAGTGTAATTCCAGCCCCATAGTATTGCAATGTGAAATTTCCTCTTACCTTTTACCAGAAATACAGCCAGAATTATAATTGCTGCAGCTAGAAATAAAAAGCAAGTGACACCAGCAGCAATTACCAAAAATACTTTTGTAGATTTCATTTTCAATAGCTGGAGTTGTCAAATGATACAAGGTTCAGTTTCCCTTTGAGAAAGAAAAAGAAATGTTCATTTGTTTTACTTTAAGTTAAGACTTACAAAAGTGTACCAAACAGGTTAGATCACATTTTTGCCCACAAAATACACAATCAATTCACTTTACAATATATTCTGTGAAGGACTTTGAGACGTCTCAATGACATGTTAAGGCAGTATATCAAATACGAACATTATTATTATCATTAGACAATGGACAACTCTTTACTCCGAAAAATTGGAAGTGAAGTGGTGTTCTGTGCGAAGACTAATACCTAGAACTGATATGCTGTTGCTGCTGTATTACTAAGAAAGGCTGCAAGCATTTCAAGATCATGAGAGCCATGAATATAACTATGTGAATGGCGCACACTTTAACATGAGTGAAGTCTTGAAAGAGATTTCAAACTGAGTTAGTTGATTTCAGTTAGGATTACACTGGGGAAGAGAGAAAATGCTGAGGGAAAACAAAGCAGATTTAAAAGAAAATCCTCTGAAACTCTTTCAGTGAGTTCTAATTTGTAGTATTTTAATGATATAGGGAGACATATCACAGGTTCTTTTACAAGCAATTTTCTGAATGTAATTTTGTCTTCCTCAGGGGATGAGGGAGTCATTTCATAATAAAACAATTTGTTTGGAAGTAGATTTATTGGGATGACGACACTTGTGGGTTATCTTATGTTCATTTTGATGTAATTTGCTTTTGGCACTTTGTCAAAAATCTGATGTTACAAGAATCTGAATTGCTGCTTGGTCTCTGTGTATTTAATTCTTTCAAAGATTAACTCCTGATTGTGACCTTTAAATGTTGCACAAAAGTACTCTGTCAAGCTACTCCAAGCCAAAAACAACAAATTTCATTTGTAAAGCTCCTTTCACGTCAGGAGGATGAGGGTGATAGGGCTGCAGAGTCTGGTGCGGGAGAGGGCACAGGTTGCAGAGTTCCTGATGACAGACCAGCCAGCACTGGTTCATTGATAAGGACTTGGAGGTACAGACTGGAGATCATGATTCTTCCCACTCAGCTATTGCTAATACTGCAAACCATAGCCCTATTGGGTGAGGTGGTCCTAAATGGACAAAAAGTGAAATAATTCCATGACATTGCTTTCAATGGCAAACTATGTCATTTTGACTAGTTAATCTCAATGTGTACTTTAATGTACACAATGGGATCTTCAAGTTGTGGGTCTTGCCAAGCTGCATCTAATACTCTCCTGAATTAGGTTAGCAGGATGTGTGAAATTTCCAATTGGTAGATGATGCCGGTCTTGAATAGACGTTGTTGAGATATCTCAAAGAGCTTCAAGGGATTTACTTAAAGTGTAGTGTGTAGGCGAATAAGGCAACCAATTTGCACACAGCAATGTCTTACAGACAGCCATGAAGTGAATGAATAATTTTATCTGGGGAATTATTGGACTGGATACTGGGAGAAATTCCCTTCACTTTTCGAATAGTGCCATGGGATCTTTAATGTCGACCTGAACAGGCAGACGGGACCTTGGCTTAATATCTTTTTTGAAGGATGGCACCTCTGACAATGCAGGACTGCAAAGATTATTATTACTACAAACAACAATGAGATGACAAACCATTACATTAAAATTTCTGGGGTGAATTTTTAAAGAGGAGGCAATATATCCTTGATAATAATAGGAAAGACCTTACAGAAATCTTGATTGTACATTGCCTTGATAATGAAAAATCTGCAACTTGCCACATAAGTCACCAAACAATTTCTCCCATTTATTTTTGTCTCAGGTCAGAACCAGAATCAAATTTCACAAGTCATTTGTTCCCAATACAATACAATTCCCTCTGCCACATTCTGAACACAATCATTTGGCTTCTGATTGTAACTTCAAACAGTTTGCACCATAAAATCCAGCTAAAACCTTTAAAAAATTGATTTATAACATAATACTAATTTTTGGGGCAAAATTTCGATGCAACTTTGATTCATACCATATTTCAAAATATATAGTGATGATTCTCCGAATGAGTTTTAATAAAACAAATTGATCAACTATGGTGCTTAGTTAGTGGCTGTAGGAGCATTCTGCAAATTGCATGTTTTAAAAATATATTCTTCTTCTTCTATATTGTTCAAAAGCCAATATTAAACAGTCATGTATTTCCCTTGTTAGAAATTTCAAACAAAGGAAAGTTCAGAGCATGAGTCTGTAGCACTTTTAGCAGAAAGAAAATGAAACAGCCAGAGGAGTCCTGTGAAAACATTCAGCTAACACTGCATTTCATGTTCATCTTGTTATTAAGCATTATTAAAATGCAAGACCATTATTTTAACTATGGCCCCATCTGAGCAATACAATTGCAGTTTAATTTATATCCTTTGCAAAAAAGAGATAAGAATGTGCAACAAGAATTAAGTATAACCTTACCTATAAGCAGTGATCTTCGCATTGATGACTGTCAGCGCAATGCGAGTGCAATATAAAGCATTAAAACCCATCAAACCTGTTCTACAAGAGTTCTACAAAATTGTACCAGGGATTACATCATGTCATACAAACTACATTGTTGATGGCATACGTTGTAAGTGTAGCATATAAAATCTATGCTTTTGAAGATGAACAATTTTACTCAGGTCCAACCCTACCTCTGGTCAGCACTCTAAGGCGCTACCCCTTGTGAAGAGTGCTATATAAAGGCAAGTTGTAGTTATACTAGACCACATGTGTACCATAACTACAATTTACTTCTTTATTTCTGCAATTTATTTGGCATTATCTCTTTCTGAGTTCTCCCCCTCTTTCACACCTTTCTTTGTTGAGAGGACAAACAGCCGTCAATATCCATCAAGAGACAACAATAACAATTTGCATTCATATAATACCCTTCATGCTAGATAGCATCTTGCACCACTTAACAGTGGCAGAGCCTGATGCTGAGCAGGGGAAGGAGAAAGGTGATCATAGGCACGGTTGAAGAGGAAGGTCTTCAAGCGCGACCTAAAAATGGGGAGAGAGGGGACAAGGTAAAGGGATTGAGGGAGAGAGTTTCACAGCTTTGGGTGTAGTGGCTGATCCAGGGGACAAGGAGGAGGCCAGAGCCAGTCGACCAGAGGCAGCAGGTAGCAGTGTAGGGAGACAGTAGGTTGTAGAGATAGGGGGTTCCAGGGCATAAAGGGATTTAAATACAAGATCGAGGATCATGAAATCGATCCACTCTTTAACAGAAATCCGATGGAGTTTGTCAAGGATTGGGATAATGGAGGTAAGGAGTTTAGAGTAGTCAAGGCGGGAGGTGATGAAGGCATAGACGAGGATTTCGGCAGCTTTTGGAATGAGGTACAGATGGGCAGGTAATGTGGTGGAGGTGGAGGAAAGCAGTACTGGCCAAGGACTGGATGTGGGGTACGAAGGATAGCTGGGGGACGAACCTGACGCCTAAATTGCGCATGGGTTCGGTGAGTCTTAGGGAGTAATCGAGTAGAGTGAGGAGGTCAGAATCGCAGAAGACATTGACAGGAGCCAAAAAGTATGGCTTCCATCCTGTCAAGGTTCAGCTTACCCAGGCCTTGATGCCTGTTAGACAATCTGACAGAACATCAGTGGACTGCGAGTCACAGCTATAGGAGGATTTGTCCGAAGTAGATTTGTGTGTCATCTGCATACATGTGAATGTATATCCCACGTCTGTGGATGATATTGCCGAGAGGGAACATACAGATGAGGAAAAAAAGGGGCCAAGGATGGAGCCCTGGGGTACCGCGTAGGTGACAGGCCTGGGCTGGAGGAGAGCCCATTGGCTGAGATGAGGTCCTGGTGGTTGGTTAAGTAGGACTTGAGCCATGCAAGTCCGGTCCCACTAAGATGGATGAGGGAAGAGAGGCATTGGAGGAGGATGGCGTGATTGACTGTGTCGAACGCAGCAGAGAGGTCCAGGAGGATGAGAAGGCAGAGATAGGACTGGTCACAGAGACAAGGGCCTAAAGGTGCATGAGTGGCAGATGATGGATAGCCACGTATTTTCTCCTCCATGTTAGGTAAATCCTGGACCGACTCGTCAGGGGAATGTTTGTAGTGGCTAACCCACTACGGGCTAGGAATTCCAACTGTTAAAACCATGTTGTTTCAAACTTCAACAGCGTGCATAATTGTGGAAAATTATTAAATTCACTCTTAATATTAAAGTCAGTTTTCCACTAGTGTAACTCTTTCCTTCTCTCTATCTCTCACTTGCTATTTCTGACTTTCTAATTCTCAATGACTTTCTCTTTGTCTATCTCTGATTTTGTGTGCTTTTCTCAGAGAAAGAGACAGAGATAACAAACAGGAAGAAATATTTGCACAAGTCATGAACTATGCAGGATGAACATGAATAGAATGATTAATGAGCCTGTCTCATAATTAGGTATCGTTCACGTGACAGACAGGTGCAATGTTATTTTGTTCAGTGTTGTACAATCTGTTGTTTTGTGAAATAAATGCAAACATAATTATGTTCTGGGACAAAAATCCAGTAAGGAAACCATACCTTTCATGCTAGACTTTCCTGTCGGGGTTCACCAAGTTAACATTTTCAAATTCAGTTATACTGAGGAGTCAGTCGTGCCAGTTTTAATTACTTTATCTGCCACCTCTTCTGATCTGTCCAAACTTCTCATTGATCTAACTTTCTGCAGAAGTGGGATCCACATCTACCAGCTCTTGAGCCTCAGCGATTCATCATACCAAGACACTTCCCTACGTGAAAGACACAATATAAATGCAAATTGTTGTGGTTGTTGTTGCAAAGTATTGGTTTCCCGGACAATAACAACCCCAAGAATTTCTGCCTTCTCTTAACCTTTTCGCTGATGGGTTTGCGCTGCTGAGATGAAAGAAAGATAAGTACTAAATGTAGGCTAGAAAGCTGTATTATCATCTTATTATGGCCTTACCACACTCCGAGAGAAAGGTGACAACACAGCACAGTATTCATTTATTCGGCCTTAGGGTGGAGGACATATTTACATCTGCAAGACTCATTGATAAGACAGACAAGAAAGTCAATCATGAAATAAAATCCCTTTTTTCTCATACTTTCCACACTCACATTAGTAATATAATGCACTTAAACTTAACTCAAGGCAACAGGACAGAGGACATAATTAATGGTTGTGAATAGAGGTTAAGACAGACACCAGGAATAATTCTGTATACAGCAAATAATCAACAGTAGTAGAAATAATTCTGAGGGAGATAATAATCCTTGCATTTGATATAGCGCTTTTCATTTCTTCTAGATGTCTCAATCACAATCTTCAATGTTTAAATTTCTTTACACCTGAGCTTGGCCACATTATTGTTTGGTCCTCATATTGCGATGTCATCAGATGTGTTGAGGACATCCTGCCCCTTTTACACTTCATACTGATTGTTGTACTTTGCTTGGACACTACACTGGATTGCACTGAGAAGGGACGAAAACACACGAGTCGTTCTCATTTCTCTTCAGACATTTTGCCCACAAAATATACAGTCAATTCACTATACAGTATATCCTGTGAAGCTCTTTGAGATGTTTCAAAGATGTGATAAGGTGCTATATCAAATGCAAGGATTATTATCCTTCTTAATGAGAGAAAGGTCCCAATGTGTAAGCTTGTCGTGTGTAAGATGTGTGTCCAAATAGTTTTCCTTCTTAATATCAAGCTGTTGGATATGCAGTGGAAGGGTTTCTGTCAACCCCTTTGTGGAGTCCAGGAATAAAACAATCAGGTTGATTTGTAGCAAACAGGGAAGTGGCTGCAGGTAGGGAGCAGCATCATGGTGAGCACAGCTATTTGCCAAGGTCCCTCTTTCATAATATGAGCCATCCAACTATTAATCTCACAAATCACTGTCGCACTCTGTGTCAGCTACTCCACATGAGGACCTGGATTAAGCTTTTGATGTAAACTGGTACGTGCATTGGACATAGATCTTTTCGAACATGAAGGCAGCTGGGTGACATAAACTGTCCTGTAAAGATCCTCCTACCTTCTGAAGGCAGTTGTCCATCAAATAGCTTATGAGGAAACGGAGGCTAGTGATGATAGCTGTTGGAAGGCATTACTTGGAGTCTGGGTTCATGAGCAAATGCCTGTATATCCAGGGCTCGGTATCCACCATGATTGGTTGAAAAATAAGTAAGCAACTGATGCTCAAGCTCTAGATCTTCAACTGGCAGAACCATCGCTCAGTGAGTAGTAATGTGTGTCTGGGCAGGAAGATGGTGGTAATGCTCTCTGTCACACATTTCACATTGAACTGTGTTGCCCACCAAAAGGCTCACAGGGAGTTGCTGTCAGTTGCCTAGCAATGGTTCAAACCTGCACTTGTTGGGTATCAAATGACCAACTAGTGCCTATCCTCCTACCAGTGGCAGGTAAGTGTGATCTCCTTGGAGCTGAACTGGCTCCCAGATAATGTTTGTAATGGAATCTTGGAATTGAGTTAATCCTATCTAGTAGTCTCAGTCCGAATTTTGAGCCAGGTGGGTACACAGTATTCCAGGGCACTGCTGATGGCAGCGCAACATGGCTCATCAGCAGGACATGGAAGGGCAGGGCAGTCACTAGGGGCAGAGATTCTTCTTACTCAGCTCTGGTTAGTCCTAAAGCCCTAATGGGTGGAGTGATCTTAGCTGAACAAGCAATGGGAAAGCTTGCCAGACAGTCCTTTCAATGGCAAGCTATGGGGTTAGACTCCAGGCTATACTCCAGGAGTACCCCAACTCAAAACTCTGGGGTCTCCAAATTTGATTCTTCCCAACCTGCGCCTAATACTCTATAGAGTTATGTATGTAGGATGTGTCCTTTCAGGGAGCAAATGCACATTCCATCCCAACCACAGGAACTTTCATTCTAGGTGGGATGCAATCTTAGACTGGTTTGGATGCTCTTAAGCATGGTGATGGATTTCTGCATGTATCGATACCTGGTTGACCAAAATTGTTTAATCTTTTCATCAGATCAGATTTTAAATGATTCATTTGTGGCAGTATTTGTGACAGACTCTTCCACTTATAGAATGATTAAATGTCATCCTCATTTTTCCTATAGGACCACATTTGTAACATTTACATGAAGAAAAGTTAATACATTTTAATTATCACTGTAATTATTATTTAACGTAATTATACATTTTAATACATTTCCCATGATAAAGATTAATAATTTCTATTGATCCCATGCAATGTTTTAAAATGGACGCTAAATTGTCTGTTTCTGGGAATTTCAAAGTTCAGGACTATTTTATCTCCGAGAGGATTGGGAAAATCTAGGACAAAGCCTGATGGTTGAGCAGCGTACACTGCAGTTCTGTAGCTAATAATAATAATATATCCTTGCATTTGATATAGCTCTTTTCACGTCTTCTAGACGTCTCAAAGCACTTCACAGAATATACTGTAAAGTGAATTGACTATATTTGTGGGCGAAATGCGGCAGCCAATTGCGCACAGCAGTGTCCCACAAACAGTCGTGGATTGAAGTGACCAATTTATTATTGTTTCTTTTTCTTGAGGGATTATCATCAGTATTATTAGCTCAGTGGTTAGAGCATTCACCTCACAAGCGAGACCTGGGTTCGATTCCCGGTAGGGTGAAACCTTGGGCAAGTTTCCTTACTCCACACGCCTGATAATAATCCCTCAAGAAAAAAACAATAATTATTTGGTCACTCAATCCACGACTGTTTGTGGGACACTGCTGTGCGCAATTGGCTACTGCGTTTTGCCCACAAATATACAGTCAATTCACTTTACAGTATATTCTGTGAAGCGCTTTGAGATGTTTAGAAGATGTGAAAAGCGCTATATCAAATGCAAGGATTATTATTATTAGTACACTGTGGAAGGTCTGGTAAGAGGAGGCTATCACCCACCTGAGTCCCATTCAGTTTCCTATCAAAACCACTTAGATCTCTTTGCACTACAAATATTAATCATCTCCTAACTCATAACGCCGCTCCCCTTTCCATGACTCCTGCATTCACCAGCTATATTGAATTGCGGGGAATGATGTGCTGAAACCTTCCACACATGCACACTCACCGACTGACCACATTGAATCATGGGAAACGTAGTCTCGATCGGTCAACCATGCACAGTAGAACTTCATTTCCCACAATTCAATGCAATTCCAATGCTTGCGCATGCGGCCACGGGTCAAGATGCATTGAATCTTGACCCACACACTTACCAGCTGCTATAACTGACTAACACATGCACACTTACCAGCTGCATTGAGTTACGCACGATTATTGATTACAGTTTGCCTGAAATTTGGACTTTGTATAAGTCATATTAAATGTTACGGTCATGACTGACATGACCTATGTGTTTTTACTGTACTGTCAGACATGAGGGACTGAAGAAGCACTTGTTGGAAAATTGGCAATAGAAATAGCAACTTGCACCAGAAAAAGTTGAATTGAACTGGTATCTCAATGATAATAATAATAATCCTTGCTTTTGTGACAACTCCTTATCATGTCATCGAGGCATTTCAAAGCACTTCACAGAACATGCTGTAAACTGGTGTGACTGCATATTTTGTGGCCAAACACACATTCACTGAATATGAGGTATCACCACTGTTTAGTTTTTGATTGCAACATCTCCAAAAGCAGAATGCCCCAGGATGTGATCATTCTCATGACATACGGCATTTTTCACCTCAATGTTGCAATTGCTCCAACTTCTTCTGTGGTGGTAGCTTTGCTTTAAAACAAGCTGGAACAGGCTTAACCTTGAGTCCCGGACAATGCACCAATGGTCTAGAAATGCAGCCGGCAATTAGGTCAGTGACCTTCGGTGCCTTCAGAGCTTTCTGTACAAATGTAATGAACTCTGCAGCTCTTGTCCTTTCCTGCATTAAACTCCTCCATCTTGGCCCAGCTCCAATGACTCCCCATCCTCCAGCTGATCGAGTTCAAGATCCTTGTCCTAAACTTTAAAACCCTCCATGGTCTTGCCCCACCCTACCTCCCTGACCTCCTTAAACCCTACCAAGCCATCCACTGGCCTACTTCACCCACTCCACCCCCCACCTCACCACCAACGTTTAGCCTATCAGCTCCCACTCTCTGGAACTCCATTCTGGACTCGCCCCTTCCCTTGCCTCCTTCAAGGTCTGCCTCAAGACCTTCCTCTTGGACCAAAGTTTCAGCTAGTTTCCACCCCTCTCCCCCCAGCCTGGACCCTGGATTGTCTAGTGGCTCAGGGCATCCTCCCAACATGAAAGGTGCTACAGAAACGCAATTTGTATTTGTTGTATTGTATTAGATTTTTCTTGATGTCACTATTGTCCATGAAAACAGTATTTTCCTTATCTGAAGGGTAAATGATGATTGACTGAAATTGGGAGCAGCAAAAGACAGTTTGCGGCTGTGAGTGGAGAAACAGTTCGTCGTCTACACCACTGAAAAAGATAACAATCCACAGCTCTGTTGCAGAACATCTGGGACAAAACACCTCTTCTCTGTTGGAACCTGAAGCTATCTTCCTTTGCAAACATTCACTTCCTTGGGAATTAGACAAAAATGAGGGAGGTATTAAATGGGTTGAAAATATATTAATGACCGGAATCCAATGCAAATAAATAAATTAGCATTTGACACCAAGTTCCAAGCATCAAACATATTAAGTATTATTATCATATTAAACATATTAAATTAAGTGTTGTTCAATTTTCACAATCACAGCCTGTGCCCAGCAATGGAATCTTACAGCTATGCATTCATAGCCTCCAGAGCAAGCAGCCGCTTGGCCTTGTGTTTTGTACAGCATTCCAGATACTGATCAGTGTACTGAGTCAATTTCCCGAAACTTCTTCCCTCCTTGTCACAATCCAGGTTACTTCCTCCTCATTAGGCAACCTCACACATGCAAATAATCATTGGATTCACTGAGTGATAATTGGTTTGTTTTCATCAGGTGTTTTCTTAAGGCAACGTGTGTGCAATTCACACTTCATTATTCGTGCAGTTGGTAAAGGTGAGTCTTTTTTGTTCTGTGTGTCTCATGTTTCTTTCTGATTTCCTCTCTCATTGATCACTTCAGTGAAATTAATATGTTATGTTTGGTAAAGATGTCAAGTTTTAGTGAGTTTCATTCCTATCTCTGTCAGTAATCTAGAAACTCGCTGAAGGTCTTTCACTAAATAAAATGTGTTGAGTAAAATGTGTGACTTTAAACATTTGAGATGGGAGAATTTTAAAAATCAAATTACTTAGTGCCTGGGCATCTTAAATAATTAAACCTGTATTGTTTCTAAACTGTGCTAGTCTAATTTCAAAACAGTGTTTTCAAAAAGACTGAAATGTATGAACCTGTGGAATTCAAATCATGGTAAAGTGTTTTTTGTAAGATATTTCTGTCCTTACATTTGACTTATTCTGGTTCTATTTTTGTTTTTATTTTACTTATCATCCTATCCACTTCAGTCATAATAACAGTATTTATCTAGATGTTTTAAATTGGACCTTTAGGGGAATCTCTAAGCAAAAATGAGTTGCATGTATTATGCTTTTTCAGTTGAGCAAATTATTGATGTTTTACATTTGCAGATAGCTACCTGTCCAGTCAAGACTGCTCCTGTTAGGGTGTTGGCTTGTGGTATCATCTCTTGCTTGGCTGTAGACCTGATTAGCTGTATCAGCTGTCCCTCCTTAGTTCCTGTTCAACCAAAGTAACGCAGAGGTGAGCATTGCTGAGGCTGGAGAGTGGAAACAACCCATAGGTATTTATCAAACTGACAGAAAGTGGTGGGTGAATTGACTGTATATTTTGTGGGTGAACACGGCATCCAATTGCGCACAGCAGTCCCACAAATATCTATGAAGGAATTGACCAATTTTATTATGTGCTGGGCAAGCGTTGCATTGTCAGAGTTGCCGCCCTTCGGATGAGAATTGAAACTGAGATCCCATCTGCCTGTTCAGATAATATCACAAAACAGTTTTACAGGATATACTGTAAAGTGACCAGTGACTGTTGTGTGTAATCCGTGTGCATACAGCAGTGTCTCACAAACATCTATGAATGAAATGACCAATTTTATTTGGGAGATTGTTGGCCAGGACATCATGAGATGTCCTCTTTTCAAATAGATTCACAGAATATTCAACGTCCACCTAAACAGGCAGATGGGGCCTCAATTTTCATCTTGCCCAATGAATGGCACCTCTGACAATATATTGTATTTAACACAATGCGATACAAATTCACATTTTATGTAACACCTTTAACATCACGAGGGTGTCCCAAGACACTTAATAATAATGGCTTGAGCTTGAGATGAGGAGAGAAAGATGACTGAAAGCAGAGTAAAAGATGTAGGTCTTGAGACAGACCTTGAACGAGGTGAGGAAGGGAGCAAGTCAGAGGGATTTTAGTACCAGAGTGAGCGAAACTATGACTAAGCCCAAATATGTTCATCTTTCTACCAAAGGTGGAAAATGTGGATGACGTAAGTTACCTGAAATAGCAAAAATCCTGCAAATGGTTAACTACACCAAAGAGAAGCAGCAATGCATCAGCTGTGTTCTTGTTCAAACATTACCTACCGGTCACAGATGAGTTTCAACAGGCGCAGTTTCGCCCAGCGTCTGTTTGTAGAAGAATAGTTGCATTTGCTTCTATTGTACATGAATGATTCTGTATGTAACTATGAAAATCGCCTTTTTTTGCAACCAACACATCTGCCCACAGCACGGAAACATCCCTGGTCAAAGTCACTAATGACATTCTGAACATCTGTGATCAGGGCTCCCTCTGCCGCCTTGTCCTCCTCGACCTCTCTGCCACCTTCGACACTGTCGACCACTCCATCCTCATACACTGCCTCTCCGCTTTACTCAATCTTCGCGGACCTGCCCTTGTCTGGTTCGATTCCTATCTCTCTCACCGTCTCCACTTTGTTGGCTCTAACGGCTTCTCCTCCAGCCCCCGCACTGTCATGTCTGGCATCCCCTAGGGCTCTGTCCTTGGCCCTCTCCTCTTTAATACCTACATGCTCCCCCTTGGTGACATCATCCGCAGACATGGGGTCAACTTCCACATGTATGCGGATGACACTCAACTCTATCTTTCTGCCTCCACCCTCAACTCCAGGACCACTGCTGTCCTGACAGACTGTCTGTCGGACATCAAGTCCTGGATGAGGGCAAATTTCCTACAGTTGAATGTGAACAAGACTGAGGCCCTCCTGATTGGCTCACACCAGCGCCTCGCCCCACCCTACCTCTGCGACCTCCTAACCCCCTACCAACCCGCCTGTTCCCTCCACTCAGCCGGCTCTGGCCTGCCCCATATCCCCCGACCCACCTGCCCCACCATTGGCAGGAAAGGCGCTTTATAAATGGAATCTTGTTGTTGTTGTTGTTGAGAGCCATCAGCCACTCTGCCCCCAACCTCTGGAATTCCAACCCCCAGTCACTCTGCCTCGCCCCCTCCTTGGCCTCCTTCAAGTCCCACCTCTTTAACCATGCCGTTGGCCCACCCCCTTCCCCTCCCTTCTCTTACCCCCCCCAACCCCAGCTCGGGTCTGAAATGCTGTACTCCGTACAGCGCCTTGGGATGTCCTCCCGATGTGAAAGGCGCTATACAAATGTAATCTTGTTTTTCCTGTTTGTACTGGAATAAAAGGGGGGACTTGTTCCTGAATTTCAATTGTATGTTTCTTGAGATATGTCACTGTGTTTATCTATAGTGGCCAGATTCAAGATTAGAATGGACAGCATGCTATGTTTTGTATTGGCAATGAATTGCATGTGACGTTCATGTGATATCAATGTTTTGGAAACATTCAAGTTCCTATTTATTAAACTGTTTGTAAGTTGACAGGTGTCATGGATTTTGGGAGTGCCTCTGAAAACAAGTTGTTGGTCTTCAAAATAAATTAACTTTCTAAGAGCCATTGTCAGTAGATTTACCTTATCTAGAGGTTAAAAAGGAAAACTCTGAAAACTGGAAATACTTGACATTTCAAATCTGAAAGATTGATGATGATCTAGGTATATTTCTTTATCTGTGTTTTCTCAACTTTCCACTGCTCTTCAAAGGTAGCTGATGTCTATCTATTCGAAAGAAATAGAATACACAATGTGCAGCATTATTTATCTATGAAAACCAAGTTCCTAATTTTACTCTTAAAGTCATCAAGCTTTCTTTCTTTTTTCACAGAGGAGCTAAAGATTTGAAGATTACCAAGATCATATAGAAACGGATAAGAATGAAGTCTTCAAAAGGATGTGTGGTTGTTGCTGTGACCATCCCTTTATTGATTCTTTTATCAATAATCGCTATTCTTCTAGCAATATTTTTGGTGAAAGGTAAAGAGAAAATTTTAATGCAGGTTTCAGAACTTTAACAATCCAGACATTTGAAATATAATATGAACTTGAGCATACATTTGTTCCAGCGATTGGTTTATTTGGACTGTCCTGTTTTCAATTTTGAAGTGGTGATAGCAAGTCTGAGAATATAAATAATCTTTAAGATATTGTATCAAATGGAAGGAATATTATTATTTTTCAGTGAATGCCCAATTTTATTGGCCACAATTTTCAAATAGTGTCATAGGATCTTTCATGTACACATGAACAGGGCCTCAGCTTAACATTTCATCTGAAGGACAGCATCTTTAACAATGCATTGAAGTGCCAGCCTAGACAATATTCCACGTGTTGGTGTGGGGCTCGAACCTACAGCCTTCTAACTCAGAGATGAGTTAGAACTAGTTGCTGAATGTCAACAAGACCGAGGCTCTCCTGATTGGCTCCCGTCAGTGCCTCCTCACCTCAGGCACTGACAGCATCACCATCCATGGTTGCACACTTCACCTCACTAAGCCAGTCCGGAACCTTGGGGTCTTGTTTGATCCTCAACTATCCTTTCTACCCCACATCCCTACCATGACCTGCTCTGCCTTCCCTCACCTCCACAGCATCGCCCGGCTTTGCCACTGTCTCATACCACAGGCCACCGAAACCCTCATACATGGTTTCATCACCTGCAGGTTCGATCATGCAAATGCCCTGCTTGTCGGCCTTCCCAACTCCTCCCTCCACAGGCTGCAGATCATCCAGAACTCTGCAGCCCATGTCCTCTCCTGCACTAGGCTCCATGATCCTATCATCCACATCCTCGCCCGACTCCACTGCCTTCCCATCACACAGAGGATACAGTTCAAGATCCTGGACTTCACCCTCAAAGCCCTCCACAGTCTTGCTTAGGAAAGTGAGAAAACACAGAGAGCTCCTAACCCCATACCATCCTGTTCACTCCCTCCGCTCAGCAGGCTCCGGCCTGCTTCACATCCCCCGTCTTCCTTGCCCCACTTTTGGCGGAAGGGCCTTCTGCCACTCTGCCCCCATCGTCTGGAACTCCATCCCGCATTCCCTCCTCCTAACCCCTCCCTTGCCTCCTTCAAGACTTATCTCAAGACCCTCCTCTTCGACCATGCTTTCAATCTCCCTGCTTCTCCCCCCCCAACCCGCCCTACACCCTCCCAATCCCCAACTCGGATCCAAAACTCTGCTTGTCCAGCGCCTTGGGACGTCCTCCCAACGTGAAAGGCGCTATACAAATGCAATTTTGTTGTTGTTGTTAGTTACCAACTGACCAGACTGAGAACATTGGAGAAAGAAGGGCATAATCCAATGCTTTACTATTAGTATCTTTTACCATTAACGAGACGAGAAGCAAGTTAACTTTGTGCATCCCTCATGCCCTTTCTTACATACTCTGAACATATCCTCTCTATCCTCCAGTGAGTGCTGCTGTGTTGTGCATTGGCTGAAAATATTTTCCTATTGATAATGTACATCAAAAGAAATGTATTTAAATTCAGATCAGATTTAGAGTTAGTCAGATTAAGTACAATCTATGTGCCTATGTAGTTTGGAAATACCTGAGGAGTCTGACTTTCCAGTTTGGCTGTGACCAAGCTCTGGCACTTCCCATTTCCCCCACCATACAACCATAGATATTTTACAGCGTGGAATGTAGGCCATTCGGCCTATCATGTCTGTGCCAGCTCCCTCGAGCAATCCTTTCAGTCTCATTTACCTGCCTTTCCACCATATCTGAGTAGCTGACTCTTTTTAAGGTATTTATCTAATTCCCTCTTAAAGGCCAATATGGATTCTGCCTCAACCACCTGTCCTGGAAGGCATTCCATATAATAATATATATAATAATAATCCTCGCATTTGATATAGCATTTGTCGTAGAGATGTCTCAAAGCGCTTCACAGGATACACTACAAAGTGGACTTATTGTGTGTTTTGTGGGTGAGATGCGGCAGCCAATTGTGCACAGCAGTGTCCCACAAACAGTCTTGGATTATCTTAAAGTGATTATTACCCCGGAAAGCAATCCACCAATCGACTAACAAGCAGGTTCCTACTTACTGCTAGGTACACAGAGGTGCGTGGAGTAAGGAAACTTACTATGTGTAAGGAGAATGTGTAAAGTGGGACACAGAGGGAAGGGGTTGGGGAGGAAAATAAGCTAAGTAAAGACATCAAAGCAGCAAGCTGCCTTAGATCATGACTCCCCAAAAGCCCGTGGCAAAACAGCTACACAGCTTGCTGCTCGCCAAGTAGCTCAGAGCTTTGCAGACAGACCTGGTTAAGTTGACTTAGACACATGCAGTCAGTCATGTCGATTCTTCTCCCTCGCACGCACGCAGCAATATTTAGCTACCTACCTACAAATCCTAACTACTCTGCATGAAAATCATTCTCTTAACTGCCCATTTGCTCGTTTACCAGTATCTTAAATTGATGCACCGACTCATTGATGAGTGGAAATAATTTTTCCCTATTGAAAGTATCAAATCCACTCAATTTTAAATTGCTTGTTCAAGTTGCCCCTCCACCTTATTTGTTCCAGTGGAAAAACACAGTCTCTACTCATAGGCCAAACCACTCGAGGCTTATTGCCTTGATAAAGTGGGTCCCCTCTCGACTCTCTTCCCCCTCCTCGCTCCCTCCCTTCCCTCCCCTCACCATTTCCCCCCTCCTTGCTCCCTCCCTTCCCTCCCCTCACCCTGACCATTTCCCCCCTGCTCAGGACATGACCCAACTGTGCAGCGCCTTGGGACGTCCTCCTGACGTGAAAGGCGCTTTATAAATGGAATCTTGTTGTTGTTGTTGACTAATCCTATACACAATATTCTAACTACGGTCTAACTATTTATACAAGTTTAACATTATCCCTTTGTTCTTTTATTCTATAGTTTATTTATAAAACATAAGATTCCATTAGCTTTTTTGACAGCTTATCCATCTGCCTTCCCACCTTTTAAGGATATATGTACATTAACCCCAAGTCCCTCTACTCTTCCACTCCTTTTAATATTTTCCTACCCAACACATGCTTATTCTCCTTTTTCTACCTCCTAAAATGTATAACCGCACATTTTTCTGCATTAAGCTTTGTTTGCTATTTCTCTGCACAATCAACTAATTTCTTTCCCCCTGAGGTGGCTTAAAATCTTCTTCAATGTTAGCTGCACTCTCCATTTTTGTGTCATCTGCAAAACTGGAAATGGTGCCTCTTTATACCAGAATCCACATAATTTATATAAATATGGAGAAAAGCAGGTGGTCTGATCATTGACCCCCGAGGGACACAACTAGTTACATTACTCCATTTCAAATAACAACCTTGCACTTCCATGCACCCTGGGCTTTAACCAACTTTTTATCAATGCTGCTATCTTTCCATTATTACCATGTACCCTAATTTTTTCACATGTTTCCTACAGGTTATTGAAAGCTTTCTAAAAATCCATATATACCATTCACAGCATTATCTTCATCTATTTTCTCAGTTATTTTGTTAAACTCTATTAGATTGGGCAACCAAGTCTGCCTTTAACAAATCCATATTGGTTTGTCGTATATCAACCCACGTCTTTTCTAAGTAGTTATTCCTATTATCCTGCATTATAGCTTATTTTCATTTTCATTTGTTTACTCAACCAAGGAACCCTTGTTTTGGCACTAGCTCATTTATTAATTATAGCTATATGCCTATTTTGTGCCCTGTTTATCTTTGAAAGATTTAGTTCCATGGCACGTCCTCCTGATGTGAAAGGCGCTATATAAATGTAACTTATAATATAATAATCCTTGCATTTGATATAGCGCTTTTCACGTCTTCTAGACATCTCAAAGCGCTTCACAGAGTAGACTGTAAAGTGAATTGACTGTATTTGTGGGTGAAATGCAGCAGCCAATTGCACACAGCAGTGTCCCACAAACAGTCGTAGATTGCAATGACCAATTTTTTTGTTATTATTAACTTGTTGTTTCTCTCTGCTCATCTACGATCTTATCCGCCAGTCTTTCTATCTAATTTATCCATGCTGGTTCCATTCACATCTGGTTAGTTAGTTATTCCCAGCCTCCCCAGCTGAATGTTCTTACATTTGCTCTTACCCTCTGGTTACTGACTTATCAGCTGGTGGAAATAATTTATTCCTGTTTACATTCCAGTTCCTCCAGTCTTTCCTAATAAGTAAAAACTTCTCATCCCATGGTATCACATCTCACAATTAACCTCTGTGTCCTCTCTAGGACCTTGACATGGGGGGGCTTAAAACTAGACATAATACTTCAGCTGCAGTCTGACTAAGGATTTATGCAGACTCAGCAATACCGTCTGTCTCTGCCTTTTCAAGGATCCCAATTAATTCTGCCTGTATGATGTTTGGGAGTAGCGTAATTTTCCAAACACTCTGTGTGAAGAAACAAGTTAAAATGAACTCTTTAATGACCTGTTTGTATAGAAATATTCATGGTTGCAAACTAGTTGAAAAAACAGCTTTTGTAGGAAACAGCACGAACAGTATTTTTTTGTTTTATTAAAAAAACTTTATTTTGGTGAAGTTATTGTAAATTTAAAGAATGACATAATTGCACAATGTATTAAAATGGACTATGATTTTATTAACTCATGTAGTTTGTGATGGTGCCCCATTTCCTTTTGGTAGATCAAATGACTGATGCAGCAAAAGCTGATGCTAAATTGAGCGTTTACACATGCATTGAAATTTCCCTGCATCAGGAAAGGAATGTGAGCTCTCTACCCAGAGGCATGCACTCTCTTCACTTAATTCACCGTTGAGTTCTATAGCTCAATGGTTAAAGCACTCGCCTCGCAAGCGAGAGACCTGGGTTCAATTCCCGGTAGGGCCAAACCTTGGGGAAGTTTTCTTATTCCACACGCCTGATAATAATCACTCAAGAAAAAAAATAATATATTGGTCACTTCAATCCACGACTGTTTGTGGTACACTGCTGTGCGCAATTGGCTGCCACGTTTCGGCCACAAATATACAGTCGATTCACTTTATAGTATATACTGTGAAACGCTTTGAGACATCTAGAAGACGTGAAAAGCTCTATACCAAATGCAAGGATTATTATTAATTGTGAAGAGTATTAATTGCAGGTTGGTAAGAGGCAAGGTGTGTATTGGGGTAATACTGGAGTTTAACCAGTTAAAACTTCATAGCTTACTATTGAGAGCACTGTCTGGTGAGCTTTCTGCTGCCCACCAGCAAAACATTAAAATGCCCAGTCAGGACCACCCTACCTATTGAAGCTTTAGCTTGAGGGTTTAAGGGGAGCTGAATAGGAAGAATCACTTCTCCCAGTAAATGGGTTGCTTCTCCAAGTCCTGACAATGTTTCAGGCTTGCTGATTATCAACCTTACCTTGAAGTATTGGGTACCTGCATGGTTCAGAGTTGATTCAATCTCTATATTCTGTTGCTATGCACATTATCTTAGATCCACTATAGAGTGTAGATACTTGATGAAAACAAATGCTTTTGAATAATGCCCCATTACATTGAAAAGCCTTAAAGTGCTTTTACAGCAATAGCTATGAAATATGGAGACTGATTATAAACACATTGTGTGTGCACCCAGCAAGATGAGGTGAAACATCATCCTAGCTCAGTTGGAAATACTCTTGCCTCTGAGTTAGAAGGTTGTAGGTTCAAAGCCCAAATCAGGACTTTGAATTTGTAGTCGAAGATAACATTCAGTGCAGTGCTGGGGGTGCTGCTTTGTTGGAGGCGGAGTCCTCTGGATGAGATGTTAAGTCAAGGTCCTGTGAACAACAAAGATCCCATGGCACTATTTGAAAAGAGAACGGAGGTTTCCCCTGGTTTGCTGATCAACGTTTCCCCAAATGAAATTGATCATTCACTTCATGACTGTTTGTGGGACATTGTGTGCAAACTGATTGTTGCCATTGCCTACAACACAGTCACTACACTTTATAGGAAATCCGTTGTAGCACTTTGAGACGACGGTCCTGGGAAAGGCACTACACCAAATGTTGTTTATTATTATTTATTCAATCTGGAAGATTATCGACTAGGTCATCTGGAGAAGCTCCCTTCTCTTTTCAAATAGTATCATGGAATCTTTAACTCTCACCTAGAATGCAGGCAGACAGAATATCATCTGAAGCATGGCACCAAGCAATGCTGCAAATATTGCAACTTGGACTATGAAACTTGAGGGTTTAAATGGGGCGAGAGTGTGCAGCCATTAGTTCCGCAGGTCATCATGAACCCAGGTGAAATCTTGTACAATATTCTGTACTTTGACCTTTGTCATCTGTGTTTGTGAACATCTCATTTGGAAGAGTTTATCCTACTCTGTGCTCCCCAGTTTGAAGGCACAGTTGAATGCATAGGTTAGCCTAAAAATTTGTTTCGCTGACTAATCCTTGTACTATATCAGTGCCGCAGATCTCTGGTGCTGTGTGCAGAGGTTGTAAGCAATTGAATCTAGTCACTTGTGCAGGTTTTGAGTGACTAAACTGAACTGCCGCAGACCTGAGTATCAACCAGCTATCAGTGAAGGCTATCATAATAAATCTTCACAACAAAGTCCTTTTTGTTTCTACGCTGTTTCTACTCCAGTGACAAAGCTGTTTCTTTTAAGTTCCAGATAATTTGAGAACTCAACAGTCTTCACAATTCATGTCAAATGCAAGTAATCTATGTAAGTTTTCAACATTTTCGTTCTGAACTGTTTTTGGACTGGGTAGAATATAATATGTGAGTACGATGTTTAATTAAGGGGCGTTCTCTTTTTGGTTTTATTGAGTGGAAAAAATATTTCTATAACTATTGACCTATTTGATAAACTTCAGAACTACAGAGCAACTCTGTTCTAAGGCACCATGGTTTAGCAATGTTTCTGCTCGTAGCATGCAGGAAGTGTTCTCAGTGGCGGTCAGATGGTGGGGTTGATCGTTTTTGTGTGCTCACTGTTGAAAAATAGAGCCTGAGATGTAAGATGCAGATGTAAAAGAGTTGCTCAGGTATCTGGCAATATCCTATTGAAAACTTAGTGACAAACTCATTTAAACCTAGGCTTTCCAGAATTGTGTCACATGTGAAATTAGTCCTGCTGTACTTTCTGGGGAACCGGGTTTGCCTTGAGTACCTTTTCAACTAACTTTTTTTAATATAAAACTTACTTGGATGAATTCTTCCATTTATATGGAGACAACAAATAAATTGCCCCTCACAGTTCCTTGAGATGTCGCCCAATTTGAATGGTGCTATTAAAATTTGTATTGTATTAGAAATCTGAGTTCTTGTTGAATGTGTCTGATAACTACCAACATGTTCTTACTTTATCCACAGCTTGTGGCACTCAGTCTGAAATAACCAGTAGGATTGTTGGTGGAACAGACTCCATCCAGGGTGAATGGCCCTGGCAAGTGAGCCTTCAAATCAGGTCACACCTGTGCGGGGCTTCTATCATCTCCGACAGGTGGCTCCTGTCTGCAGCTCACTGTTTTCAGGAGTAAATATTCCTCTTTTTACAACTTTTAAAGTGCATTAGCTTTTCAAAAACATTTAAAAAAAAAAGAAATGGCTTTAATGTGAAATTTACCTCATCTGTTTATGGAACTGCATGTTTCCATCTTTTCCTTCATGGTTATTTGTGGGATGTTGCTGTGTCTAAATTGGCTGCTGCTCAGAAGTCGCTAACCTCTGGTAAATCCTGTGAAGCACCTCGGGATGTTTCAATTATACGATTAAGTGCTATATCCAATGTAAAGATTATTAAAATGAAACATTGTTTAATTTAAAATATGCACAATTCACTGATGTGTTCTTTTCCCAATATTTCTGTTGTATTTAAGATCTTTTTATAAAAATATATTCTTTAATGCTACTCCATGTATCTAAGTCTGTGTGATTAACATTTTACATCCTTCTTTGTTTAGTAACAATGCCAATCCATCGCTATGGACAGCTTTTTTTGGGTCAGTTATTGTAGGAGAAGGTACATCAAGAACCATTGAACGAATTATCACTCATCCCAATTTCAGCATTCCAGGTCTATTTAATAATGACATTGCAGTGCTGGAGCTTTCCTCTCCTCTTACGTTCACTGACTTCATACGGCCAATTTGTCTTCCATCGAGTTCCCACGTCTTTCGTGATGGTCAGACCTGTACAGTTACAGGATGGGGGACCCTTTCATATCAAGGTTTGTGTGCCTTATTCTGAGGTCAATAATCAACCCAGTTATCCAAGCTATTTTGATGGTACCAATGTAACCATTTCAAACAGTAATAGACGAACTTTCGAGACAATCCATCCAACTTCACAAAAGATTTCTTTGTTGTGTCCTTTTTTAATAGCCCTGAATCCTTTGGTACCTATTTGAAATCCATTTATAGTTTCTTGTTCCACCCATGCTGGCAGTTTGTTCCATGTGCTTAGCATCATTTTACTAAGTAAACACTTATTCTACTGTATTCTTTTAAATTTGAAGCTCTGAACCTTTTTTTTAATTTGACATCACAGAAATATGTATCTGCTTCCAAATATTTCAAACTTTCATAAGTTTAAGTGCCTCCCTTGAGGCTTTTCTCAACTCTCATTTGCAGGAAGAAAAGTCTAGGTGGCCAACCTTTCCTCATAGTTCTTCCTAAGTTCAAATCATTTAATAGCCCTTCATTAAATGTCCACGCTTTATCTATTTTACAATGAGACTAAAACTGCACACAAAACTCCAGATGTGGCCTGACCAAGGAACAGAATGGTGAAAATTGCTGGTATAATGTTAGGTTGTCAAATTGCAATCAAGCCAGTTTTATATTGGCTGCCCATAGGTATGACCCCCTTTCCCTGTCCCACATACACACATACTGACTTTGGCACATCCCTAAGGCACCATTGCAATTACAGAGTTCTGAAATTGAATGCCAGGTCATGGGGTGTCAATGTCACTCATCCAAAACAAAGGAGGAATGTCTGTCTGTGCACATTAATGTAAGGTGAAAGGTCTCAATATCAAGTTCTTTTCTCAGGTGATTTTCCAACAATTCTTCAGAAAGCTGATGTAAATATTGTCAGCAATGATGCATGCATACGTGCCTATGGAAATTTAATTTCCAACAAAATGCTGTGCGCTGGAATCTTGGCAGGAGGAATTGATGCTTGCCAGGTAGGTACCTAAGAATTATTGTACGATTTTGTGAACGTCTGGTTTAGGATATTAGTTTTATCTGTTTGAGCTCCATTTACTTTGATTTGTGTTTGTATAGACCACAAATGCTTTTTTTGGTATTCTCCAAATCAGGTTCTTGTGTAAGTTACCACGTTTAGATCGTGTATCATCAAATAAGCCTCCATATCTCTTTGGAATATCTTTGGAATCTTTCTCTCTCTCTTGTTTTTCTCTTTTTCTCTCTCTTGCTTGGACAAAATTTGGGAGAAATTGGCAGGTAAACAGAAAGCAGAGGCTAGTGGTGAATGCCTGTTTGTCAGACTAACCTGAGGGTTCACATACACAAAGTTTTGAAGGTGACAGGACAAGTTGATAAAGCTGTTAATAAAAGCATATGGGATCCTTTTCCTTATAAATAGTGGATAGAGTACAAAAGCAAGGAAGTTATGCTAAACGTTTACAAAGCACTGGTTTGGCCTCAGCTGGTGTATTGTATCAAATTCTGGGAAACACACTTTAAGAAGGATGGCAGGGCCTTGGAGAGGGTGCAGAGGAGATTTACCAGAATTATACCAGGGATGAGGGTCTTCAGGTATGTGGAGAGACAAGTGAGGCTGTGATTGTTCTTAGAGCAGGAAGATTTAGCAAAGGTGTTAAAAATTATGAGGGTTTTTTATAGCGTAAATAAGGAGAAACCGTTTCCACTGTTGAGTAGGTTGGTAACCAGAGGACAGATTTAAGATTATTGGCAAAAGAACTAGAGAAAAGATGAGAATTTGTTTTACCCAAAGAGGTTTTGCAAACTGAAATGCATTGCTGAAAGGGTGGTGGAAGCAGATTCGATAGCGGCTTTCAAAAGGGAATTGGATATGTACTCAAAGGTAAAATTTACAAGGCTATGGAGTAAAAGCAGGGGAGTGGGACTAGTTGGATAGCTTTTCAGCTGGCACAGGCATGATGGGCCGAATGGCCTCCTTCTGTGCTGAAAGATTTTATGGTTCTTTTTTTTTCTCTCTCTTCGTTTTCTCTCTCTTTATTTTTTTTCTTTTATTCATTTGCTAAAGAGTTGATAATGTTTATCTAAATTCTGATGTAATTTTGTTTTTGAAAGCTTAGTATTTATAGAATTCATTACTGTATTTGTTGGTAAACTTGTATTGATGAATGCACTACGTTACTCTTAAATTTAAATTAATTCTTAAGTGAACAAGCTATAGCAACAACAAAATTACATTTGTATAGCGTCTTTCACGTCCACATATATATATATATATATATATATATATAGCACCATCACTGTGTAACGTAATTGCTTTGTATTAATCACAGGGTGACTCGGGAGGTCCACTGGTCTGTGAGGAATCCAGTGGGACATGGCTTCTTGCTGGAATTGTAAGCTTTGGGGATGGATGTGCTCAACCTGATACACCTGGAGTTTACTCTCATGTTACAGCTCTTAGAGACTGGGTACTGCAGGAGACCGGTATATAAACAACAATAACCTACAGCTGGGATGTTTTCGAAAATTGCGCCAAGAGTTTTTCAAGAACTCCTTCTCAAAGTGCACTATAGCTTCTAACAGTATTTCACATTGACTGCTTGGATCTGAATTCACCTTTCTAAATGTCCAGACTTGAAATGGGATCCAACTTTGTTGATATTTCCAGTATGCGTTCATGAATGTGAATGACTTAATTTATAAGTAAAGTTTAAAGAGCATTTTCACTTGGGGAAGAGGAAGAAGCATTGAACCCACAACAGTCCTCGTTGTATCAAGTTCATGTTGAAATTCAGAATGCACTGTGTGACTTGCATCATTCAATTAATTTTGTGTACAGTGTTTTAATCTTTTGTGTTCATCAGTCCAAGTGAGGTTGTTGTTAATCTGTGACAATGATCTGCAACTTCAAGGACCAGCATTTGAATCCAGCTGAACCTTATAGGCTGGAAGAAAGTCCCTCAGCCTGCTGCCTTGTGAGAACTGTGTGAAATATTTGGGACGTTTCATTCTGCCTCATAGTGGATGTGAACCCACATCACAAAACCATCCTAAAAGCTACAGCACAAAACAAACCCTAAATCTGCACAAAATTAGCAATTTCAAGGGCTACAGGATGCCTGGTGTTGGTAATGGAAATAGAAAATGTCTTCAGTTCTTTCTGGGTGTAATTCCACAGCACTAAACTGAGCACAATTCAGCACAAATTGCTACTGTAAATAAGCAATAGTTCAAATGCAGGTTTGAGCCACTCGCCTATGGATTAACAGGATTTAAAACCTTACAGGTGCCCTCAATGTAATTTAACAATTGAAAGCCCTTGCAGTGATTGTATAGTTAACCAAGTAAATACACAATTAGGGGTAGCTGTATATGAATCCGATTAGCTCATGGGCTATTAGCCAAACCCACATTTTAGATCCCCTTATAATGGAAGCCATGAGGGTGGCTGATATGCGAAGTAGAAAGTTTCATATGTTGTGCAGTAATGGCTGGGATTGGGGTATGCTGTCAAGATGGGGGATAGACTAATACGTGGCATACATTCACTGATGGTATTTAACATTGACACTGGGTATGCAAATTGGAAAAGTACTCCATTTCTCACTCCTGACATTCTTCACCTAACAAATGCAGAAAACTCGCCAAATAAAATTTATCATAAAATTATACTGAACTTCAGTATCAGGAATACAAAAAGAATTGAAGCTTTAACATTTCTTTCAATGTATTGTAGATATTTTAACTTGAATTTTATTGAAGTTTCATGTTTAATAGAAATAAATGCCAAAATATAATGTGTACACTAATTTGTCATCATTAAGAATTTTACTGTGCCTTCACAGCCCATGTGGTGGATTTTGTGCAATGAATTGAGTACTATTCAGCTTTGTATATAAAGTTCAAAAATTTCTCCCCATGGACATAACTGAAATGTCATTATTTTAATGCATATCTTTAAGTAAACAGTCATGATTTTGGAAACTTGACAAAAAAAGACTTTAAATTCCAGTAATAAAATTGCACCATGGAATAGAATAACCCTTTTTTAATGAATAACTTTAAAACCTATTTTTAGTTGTCAGTATGGCTCAGTTAGTAGCACTGTCGCCTCCTGAGTCACAAGGTATGAGACTATAAACTCAAGTAGCCTGGGCTGACAATGTAGTCTCCTTCTGAGACTTTTCTAACTTTTAAACTGAGGTCCCGTCTGCCTGTTCACTTGGATGTTAAAGATCCCACAGTAGAGTCCTGTAGCTCAGTAGTTAGAGCGCTCACCTCGCAAGCGAGAGACCTGGGTTTGATTCCCGGCAGGGCAAAATGTTGGGCAAGTTTCCTTTCTCCACTCCACATGCTTCTGTTTACCTAGCAGCAAGTAGATACCCGGTTGTTATTCGATTGGCGGATTGCTTTTCCAGGTATTTTTTTCCTTCAAAACAATAATAATAAATTGAATCCATGACTGTTTGTGGGACACTGCTGTGCGCAATTGGCTCTCATCAATTCACTTTGCAGTATATTCTGTGAATCACTTTGAGACGTCTCAAAGACGTGATAAGGCACTATATCAAATGCAAGTATTATTTTATTACTTAAATTGACGAAAAGGGCAATCTAACGTATACTTTGAGGATGGGAGTAAGGATTGCAATTGCTTTTCTGGATCCCTGAATATCGAGGTACCTCAGGATAACGCCAGGGAACTCACGCAAAAGTGCCGGTGCTGCACAGAAACCTTTCCCCAAGTCAGTCACTCACTCGCCTCCCTTTGCACCTACCTTAGCAACACAGTGGCCTGGCAATAAGGGACTAACCGAGGCAGCCAGCAGGGCGGGGGTTAGTGATTGTGATGATTTCCACTCGAGAAGTGCAGGTCCACAATTGCAGTGTGATGTACATTACTCTGACTAGATTAATTTTCTTGTTTTTCAGCTACCTATTATCTAAAAGATTTATAAGACATTGTAATGCTATCACAACTTTTTGGTAACCCTCTATTAATACCATCCCCAAATCCTGGGATTTCAGGAGTGCCATTATTATGCGGGATCCAGGGATCAGGGTTCCTGGGATTGCAACCCCTAGATGGGAGATGAAATGAAAAGTAATTTCTAAACTGCATTTTGTAAAATTAATATTTACATTCCTTTATGAATTTTGTTTCTATTGGCGATTTTACTATTTAGGTATGTGTGTAACCTGATCATGAAATATTTTGCTAGATTTTTAGTGTTGCATTCAGGCTGAATTCTGTTTTCGTAAGGAGTATGTGGGGTAGGTTGTGCCTTTGTTTCTGTGTGTGAGATCGCAGATCATCATAAAACCCAGGGGCAAACTACCTTAGTTTTAATTTGTTTCTGTAAGGATTTTGATCTTGTGCCTTGTGAAACTCTCAAAGAAACTGTGAAAATACATGGCAACATCAATGTATGGCCAAGAGTTTAAACTGAAGTGATGTTGAATTTGTACAAAAGTTTGGTTCAACTACATTTGGAGTAATGTGTCCAATTTTGGTCACCACACTATATGAAGGATATAGCAGCGATTGGAAAAAAATACAAGTATAGGTTTACAAGGATGATACCAGCACTGCATCAGATTGGATAGGTTAGGTCCTTTTTGCTAGTTGGGCTGAGTAGCCTTTTTCCATGCTGTACATTCTTTGTAAATCTTGTATTTTATCAAAAATATGTGTATTCCAGCTCCAAAGATCCATTTTTAGGGTTGATAGGATATTCACTGAGACGATACCTCTACAAAAAAAGACTGATAAGGCTTGTCCACTGTCACCCACCCTATTCAATATATTCATCATTGATGTATTGGATAGCATTCAAAGTGACTAATTTGCCAAGGTAGGCTTGTAGCACCATGATCTGTATAGCAGACTGGTAAATAATAAATAATCCTTGCATTTGATATAGCACTTTTCATGTCTTCTAGCCATCTCAAAGCACTTCACAGAAATATGCTGTAAAGTGTATTGACTGTATATTTGTGGGCAAAATGCGGCAGTCAATTGTGCACAGCAGTGTCCCACAAACAGTCGTGGATTGAAAATGACCAATTTATTATTGTTTTGTTTTGGAGGGATTATTATCAGGCGTGTAAAGTAAGGAAACTTGCCCAAGTTTCATTTGCTCTGGGTACCCGTGTGGATCTAGAACTTGGTTTTGCCCTGCCTGGAATTGAACTCAGGTGTCTCTCTTGCAAGGCGAGCACTCTAACCCTGAGCTACAGGACTCTACAGGACTGGTCTGTCAGTGTGACTCCGTTGGAAGGTTATGGGTGCAACCCAATGTCAGGACTTGCAAAACATATAGTCTAAACTGACATTGCAGTATTGGGGTATTCTACACTATTTGAGGTGCTATTCTTTGGATGAGATGTAAAACCGAGGTCCCTTCGGCCTATTCCCCAGGCACTACTCGAAAAGAAAGGAGTTTCTTAATGTGTCATGGCCAACAATCCCCTCCAAATAAAATTGGTCATTCACTGCATGAATGACCAATATGAGAACCCATATGAGACCTGTGTTTTGACTCTCCAGCCCAGAGAATGTTGCTTTCCTATCTATTTAGGTATGACTATCCTCCAGGGGGGAGGGGGGAAATGGGGTCTATTGGAGCTGAACTGGCTCCAAGATGACATGCCTGCTAATGGAATGTTGTAATTGAGCCAGCCCTCGTGTATTCTCGCGCACCAGGCTCCATGACGCCATCACTCCCACCCTCGCCTGACTCCACTGACTCCCCATCCCCCGGAGGATCGAATTCAAGATCCTCATCCTCACTTTCAAGGCCATCCATGGCTTTGCCGCCTCCTAGCTCTCTGACCTGCTGACTCCCTACCAACCTGCCTGCTTCCTCCGTTCAGCAGGTTCCGGCCTACTCCATCTCTCCCGCCCGACCCATCCTACCATCGGTGGCCGGGCTTTCAGCTTCTCTGCCCCCACACTCACTCTGGAACTCCATCCCACAGATCCTTTGCCTCACTTCCTCCCTTGCAGCCTTCAAGGCCAGTCTCAAGATCCCACTCTTCAATCGTGCCTTCAGTCTCCCTCCCAACTCTTTGCCTTCCCTCACCCCTGTCCAGCACCTTGGGACGTCCTCCTGACGTGAAAGATGCTCTATAAATGTAATTTTGTTGTTGTTGCTGTTGGTCTCAGTAGTCTGGTTCTTGAGCCAGATGTTTCTGCAGTATTCTAGGACACTGTTGAAGACAGAACAGCCAGCCTGGCTCATCAGCAGGCCTGGAAGGGCAGACCAGTCACTGGGTGTCATCCCACTCAGCTCCTGTTAACCCTACAAGCGAAAGCCCTAACACGTAGGGTGGTCCAAGCTGGACAAGCAGCAGGAAAGCTTACCAGGCAACAATATCATCAGCAAGCTATATGGTTTTAGCTGGTTAGACTCCAGCAGTATCACAATGCACACTTTGGGATCTCCAAGCCTTGGCTCTTGCCAACCTGCACCTCGTACTTTCTGGAATTACGGAAGAGGGATGTGTCCCTTCAGGGAGAGAGTGCGCATTCTATTCCAACCATCTATCTCTGGAATTTCCAGGTGTAGATGGGATGCATGGAAATCTCAGCTTGGTTTGGGTACTCTTAACCATGATGATGGATTTCCACATGTCAGATACTGGACTGACCAAAATAAATCTAGGCTGTGTGTGGTAGGGAGGTTGATAGGGAGTCAGCAGATCAGAGAGTTAGGAGGGGCAAGGCCATCCAAACAACATCCTCTCTATCAGTGACCAGGGCTCCCTCTGCCTCCTTGTCCTCCTGGACCTCTCTGCGGCATTCGACACAGTCGATCCCACCGTCCTCCTCCATCGCCTTTCCTCTGTCATCCACCTCAGTGGGACTGCACTCGCCTAGTTCGAGTCCTACTTCACAAACCGCCAGCAATACATCTGCACAAACGGCTTCTTCTCCCGCTCTCACACAGTTACCTGTGGGGAACCCCAAGGATCCATCCTTGGCCCCCTCCTCTTTCTGATTTACATGCTCCCTCTCGGGGATGTCATCCGCAGACATGGGGTACATTTCCACTTGTACGTGGACGACACCCAACTCTATTTTTCCACCTCTCTTTGCGACCCCCAGTCCCCTGATGTTCTGTCAGCCTGCCTGTCAGACCTCAGGGGCTGGATGAACGCAAATTTCCTTCAGCTGAACATTGACAAGACAGAAGCCATACTCTTTAGCTCTCGTCAACGTCTAAAATCTCACGGCTCTCACCTCCTCCACCTACCCGACCTCCCCCTAAAACTCTCTGAATCCATAGACAACCTAGGTTCAGGTTCAACCCCCAATTATCCTTCCATCCCCACATCCAGTCCCTCACCAGCACCGCTTTTCCACCTCCGACGCATCGGCCGTCTCCGCCAATAGCTCTCTCCGAAAGCTGCTGAAACCCTGATCCGTGCCTTTGTCACCTCTCGGCTGGACTACTCTAACGCCCTCCTCACCGGTCTCCCCTCCACTACCATCCACAAAATCCAGATTATTCAAAACTCCGCCGCCCGTATTCTTACCCGCACCAAACTCTGCTCCCCGATCACCCCAGTCCTTGCCAGACTGCACTGGCTGCCTGTCCCAGAGAGGATCAACTTCAAGATCCTCACCCTTGTATTCAAATCCCTCCACTCCTCTGCAACCCCTATCTCTCTGACCTCCTCTCTCCTCAAAACGGTATCCGTTGCCTTCGTTCCTCTGGGTCTGACCTCCTCCTTGTCCCCCGAGTCCTCCGCTCGACCGTCGGCAACCGTGCCTTCAGCC